GCGTCATCGGGAGGGATCGGTTCCTGGGGAAAGACATCATGCTTGGTAAAGCTGTAAAGGTCAGCAAAAGAAAAGAAGACCTTTACAGATATGGATTAACACAGTGGCTGCAACAATGAACTCAAACACCGAACGATTGTGCAGACCCAACAGTGTTTTATTCTATTGTACACAGGGTCACTAAGAGTTGGGACTAACTCAGTGGGACCTAACAACAGTCAAACTCCATTCCAAATTTAGAAACAGAATTTCCTTAAATGCTTATTCAAGTTTTCTATGGATATTTTCTGCTTAGTATTTCATTACAGTTATTATTGTAAAGTGCCGCAGAGTCAGTTCCAACTTATAGAAACCCCATATAGGGCTTCCAAGGAGCAGCTGGTGGGTTTGAATTTCTGACCTTGTGGTTCACAATCCAGTGTTGATCCTACAGCATCACATCAGGAGTCTTCGTAATTACAATTTTACATTTTCTCTTGGATCAACCATCAATCACATTTATGGAAGCAGCAGTCAAGATATCAAATGACATATTGCATTAGGCAAATCAGCTACACAAGACCTTTTTAAAGTGCTCAAGAGCAAATATGTCAGTTTGAGGACTAAGGTGCACTGAACTCAAGCCATTGGTATTTGCAATAGCCTCTTTTCTGAGACTAGGAGATTCACAATATGATCAACGGATATTTACTGGAAACTATTGTAGGCCAATTTAAATAGAGCAGCTAAGACTTAGAGGGTTACTGTCTTCCCTAATGACTAATGTTGTAGCAAAGAGTATTCTCAATCTCTAAATTCTGATTTATCTTTGTATATAATTTCACTTCAAAAGGACCACAGCTTCTTGGACAAACAACTAATTCCAGGTGTGGGGCAGAAAATGAACAAGGTGAGTCCTGAACAGTTTGTCGTACAAGATATTAAGAAAGTTATCAGAGACTACTAGGTTTATATCAAATAGAATTAGGCATGAACTTGAACAAGGTCTCATTGACCAAATATGAGGTACTTTTAACTCTGAAACTGATAATCTTTGTAATTGTTTAAATTCTTGAGTTCATGAACATGTAGTAATGATATTAAAGTAATGATTTTAAGTAATGATATTTAAAATGTAATTGGTTAATTTTGAAAGATTACATGGAATAAATTTGTTTTCTTGAAATTTGGTAACTAAAGGGAAAGGAGTAAGCATTCAGCATGACTTTTTCTTTGTGAACTGCTCTATGGTATAATTAAGCAAATGAGGGAAGCATCTCCTTATAATATCAGTTCAGTTAATCAACAACAAAAAAATTCTAGAATTAGAAAGTGTATCTAAGATGCCAGTAGACCTGAAGATGAGAGAGAAAGAGGAAGGGCTGGTTGGTCTGAAGTATGGTGAGACCTGGGGACTCCTGAGCCCCTGTACAAGGACATGAGTCCCAGAGGGCTAGAGCTGAGAATAAAGCATCCAGCTGATATGAAGTGAGGGGAGACGCACAAGAACACTCAAACTTGCAGATAATACCCATTTGACCTAGGTTTGATAGGTGGAATGATCAGAACTCACTAGAGGAAGATGAAAAAATGTAATAAAGGAAACAAGTGTAAACTGCTACAATTTCATGGACTTTCCCTATTCTTATGGATGTAGTAGCTCAAGATCCCAACTAAGAGGAAATGAGTCTTCACATCAAGGATCAATCCTATTCCCTTTGTACAAATGATTCAAAAAGATGGAAATTTAGACATTGGCTATCTAGAATGTGTGGGCTATATATCTAATAATTAATGGGTAAATAATAAATGCATTTGATCATGTATCATTTCATGTTATTATATGTTGTGAATTTATGTGTGGCCTTTTTTCATTTTAAATATTTTTGGAATAACTATAATATTATAAATATTATGCTTTTTTCATTGAAGTGTTATTACCAGATATATATTAGTCCTTGAAAAAAAAATTTAAAGCTACTTCTCAAACGATTATATTACTTTGGTTGGTTGGTTGAATACCCTGGAGTCGGTTCCAACTCATAGTAAACCTGTATAGGATTTCCAAGGCTGTAAATCTTTATGGGAGCCTCATCTTTCTCCTGCAGAACAGCTGGTAGTTTCAAACTGGTGACCTTGAGGTTAGCAGCCCAACTCGTAATCACTCTCAATGTATAATGTTTTACAAGTAGGCATTTTCATTTTCTTCAGCCAAGTACGAAACACAATAATGATGTCTCCAATTTATATCTGACATGCTTCATATAAGAGTAAAGGTGAATTCCAAAACATAAATATACATTAAAATGTAGTGATCACAATTTTTGTCCCTTAGTACAAGGATTCTAAAAACGACATCTATTCACTAAGCCTTTATTGCCACTCTTTTCCTAATTATTAGATATTTATTAAAATGTTTACATACCTAGGACCCTGGTGTGGTGCTGTAGGATCAGCACTGGATTGCAAACCACAATGTTGGCCATTCAATCCCACCAGCTGCTCCTCAGAAACCCTATACAGGGTCACTGAGTCAGAATCAACTCAACAGCACTTAACAACAACTAAGCCTTTACTGTCACTTTTTTCCTAATTGTTGTTGTTGTTGTTAGGTGCCATCAAGTCAGTACTGACTTGTAACGATCCTATGCACAACAGAATGAAACACTGCCTGGTACTGGGAAAACCTCACAATTGTTGCCACGCTTGAGCCCATTGATTCTGCCACTTGCCCAATCCATCTTGCTGGGGGTCTTCCGCTTTTTCTCTGACCCTCCACCTTACCAAACAGATATCCCTCTCCAGCGACTGGTCCCTTTTGACAATATGTCTGAAGTATGAGAGACAAAGTTTGGCCATCCTGACCTCCAAGGAGCAGTCTAGCTATACTTCTTCCAACACAGATCTGTTTGTTCTTTCAGCAGCCAAAACAAGACCAGGGGTAGATTGTGGAACAAACCATCAAATGCTCATATGTAAATTCAGACTGAAGCTGAAGAAAATGAAAACAAGTCCACAAGAGCCAAAATATGACCTTGAATATATCCCACCTGAATTTAGAAATCATCTGAAGAAAAGATTTGATACATTAAATACTAAAGACTGAAGACCAGAAGAGTTGTGGGATGACATCAAAACATCATACAGGAAGAAAGCAAAAAGTCACTAAGAAGACAAGAAAGAAGGAAAAGATCAAAATGGATGCCAGAAGAGTCACTGAAACTTACTCTCCAGCATAGAGATGCTAAAGCAAATGGAAGAAATGAGGAGATCCAAGAGCTGAACAGAAAATTTCAAAGGTCAGCTCGAGAAGATAAAGTCAAATATTACAACAAAATGTGCAAAGATCTGGAGTCAGAAAACCAAAAAGGAAGAACACGCTCAGCAGTTCTCAAGCTGGGGGAACTGAAGAAAAAATTCAAGACTCAACTTTCGTTACTGAAGGATTCTCTGGGAAAATTATTAAATGATGCAAAAAGCATCAAAATAAAATGGAAGGAATACACAGAGTCACTGTACCAAAAGGAAATGGTTGGTGTTCAACTGTTTCAAGAAGTAGCATATGATCAAGAGCCAATGATACTGAAGGAAGAAGTTCAAGGTGCATTGAAGGAATTGACAAAGAACAAGTCTCCAGGAATTGATGGAATAAAAATTGAAATCTTTCAAGAAAGGGAGGCAGCACTGGAGGCACTCACTCATCTATGCCAAGAAATTTGGAAGACAACTTTCTGGCCAATTGATTGGAAGAGATCCATATTTGTCCAACAAAGTTACATAGACCCCCATCCACCTGGTGTGTGGAGAGAACTTGTTGGCCCTAAGCTTGGTGAGACCTGGGAATTCCTGAGCCCATGGATGAGGACATGGCCACAGAGGGCTAGAGCTGAGAGTGAAGCATCCAGTTGATATGAAGTGAGGGGATATGGACAAGGGCACCCAAACTTGCAGATAGTGCCCATTGGACCTAACATAATAGGCTGGATGTTCAGAACCCAACTAGAGGAATGAAAAGAGGGAAAAAGAACAAGTGTAAATTGCTACAATCTGATGAACTTGACCTATACTTATGGATGTAGTAGCTTAAAATATCAACCAAGAGTGAAAGAATCTTTACAGCGAGGATCATTCCCAGCCCCTCTGTACACACAGTTGACAGATGGGCATCTTAGACATTGGCTACCTAAAATGGGGGACTGAAAAGGCATGAAGTGACTGGCTTACAAGATTTCAAGTGGGAGTTTAGATTCAGAGTGTGCGGGGGGGAAGGTAGAATCCCCATTGAGTGCTTTTCATTCTGTCTAGGCAGGTGTTGTGAAAGGAGATGGAGACAAGACTCTCATGATTCAATAGTAAGTACTGTTATCATCGCTAATTGCAATTGTTGCAACTATAAAGGTAGAAGTTTTGTAGCAAGAAGGGGTGAGTGGTCGATCTTACAGTCCTGGAGCAGAGGACCCTGGGACCATTAAGGGAGAAGAGTGGTAATGGAGTGTGGGACCCTACCCAGAGAAGCGGGGACTCCAGAGACAGAGATGGAGGCAGAGATGATGACATGGAGAGACGGAGCAGTGGAGGATTCTAGATTCATGGAGGGAGAGGGTATGTGTGCTGGAGGCCAGGGGGCAGGGTGTGCCCTTTGGCTGTTTGAATGATTGTATATTCCTGAGAGTTTTGGTGCACATCCAAAAATAAATAAATAACAACAGAAGAATGATGAAGCATGCAGGGGATTGCAATCATTGCAATAATGTTCCCCCATGTAAACTATCACTCAATTCACAATAAAAAAAAACTTAAAAAAAAAAAAGAAGATTGAAGGAATACACAGAGTCACTGTACCAAAAGAAAATGGTTGCTGTTCAACTGTTTCAAGAGGTAGCATATGATCAAGAGCCAATGATACTGAAGGAAGAAGTCCAAGGTGCATTGAAGGAATTGGCAAAGAACATGGCTCCAGGAACTGATGGAATAAAAATGGAAATCCTAATTATTAGATGTTTATTAAAATGTTTACATACCTAGGACTCTCAGGATAAAGTGTTTACTGACTTCTCCAGCTTCATTTGAAGCAATGCAGGCGTACCTTCCCGAATCTTCAGTCTCCGCTTTAATGAACTGAAGGACCATTCCTTGAGTGTTTACCATCAGATGGGAATCAAGATCCAGAGACTGGCCATCTCTAAGCCAGGACATACTGGGAGTTGGAGTCCCATCTGTAAAGCATGTCATTGAGGTAGGGTTGCCTTTGATGACCGTGATTTCTTCTGTTCCCATTGCATTATCCATATTTGGTGGTACTAAACAGAAAAGAAAAGAAAAGCATAATTTACATAGAGAAATTTGAGATTAATTTATAGAAAACACTTTTAATTTACTGAAATCATACATTTTAAAAATGAATACATCATTTATTTATGGCTTTAGTATAAAAACATGTATCAAGTATACTAATTTTGAATTTTTAATACTAGCACTGAAACTTTGAAAAAAATTTTATAGAACGTATAATCAATGTACAGTCATTTGAAATTACTGTCATTTAGGACATCTTCAAAACCATTTTTCAATATCTTAGGTTTGTTTACTTATGTAAAAATTATTAGAAGCATATTTTCAATGGCCTTATGTGTAATACATAAAAGATGAAGTTTCAGAGTCCGTTTTATATAATCCAAGTAAAGCCATTTGTAGACTATTGTTTTTCAGTGCTGACAAGTCAGGTCCAACTCATAGCCACCCTGCATAGGACTTCCGAGGGTTTGAACCACCAACCTTGCAGTTGGTAGTTCAGTGATTATTTGTTCTGAGACATGCTTGTAGATTGAGGAATATCAATCAACAAATCTCAATTCAGGTATGTAGTGCTTAATGACCCTTTGGGAAATATCCTACCACATATACGTTCCTAGTTCCATAAGGTTATAATGGTGGTTGTTGTGTACCATCAAGTTGATTCTGACTCATAGAAACCCTGTATAGGGTGTCCTAGGCTGCAAATCTTTATGGGGACAAAAAGCCTCATATTTCTCCTATGCAGAGACTGGTAGAATCGAACAGCTGATCTTGTGATTAGCAGTTTAGCTAATAATCCACTACCCTACAAGGACTATAGATGTCTCATTGGAAAACAGAATGTAGTGGGCACATGTTTGCTAAGTAATGAGATGCGAAGATCCACTATATCTTTCACTAGCTCTCCAGGTCCTGCAACTTCCTGGCTCTACAACAATATGGGGAAGACATTTTAGCAACCATCCTCTGCTCCCACTGGGTTTGCCTCAGGTAGGGACTACACAGACTTTGCTCAAACTCCATGGAGAGTGTTCTGCCTAGCCTACTGACCCACTCGACCTAGGATCCCTGTGATCATGAGGGTCTGGGCCCGATTCTGAGCTTCTCCTGAGGTGGAATCTGCTGAGTGGTCCAGGCTGTGGCAGTGGAAGAAAGACAAACAGGAAAGGCAATTGTCAGTTCAGTGAGTGTACTCAGTGGTGGATGGACAGAGAGACGGTACAGCTCTCAGAGACCTGGTGGCAATTATGCAGGACTGGTGGTGGTAGAGCTAAAGTTTCACACAGTCCCACGGCATGGAACCCCAGATCAACAGGTGACTGTCCTGCACTCCTCACTCTTTATATAACGTCCAAGTCACCTAATGTCCTATTTCATAGAACACATCATTGAGATTAAGCATCCTATACCTGTATTTCCAAAATAGTAGGCTTTGAGTTATCTCTATGCACATACGTCCACAGAGACAGAGACATATTTGCACCTACCTGCAACCATTCATATTTTAAATATTCTAAAAGAATTGCTAATATTATTAGTAAAGTCTTAATTTTTCTCTTTGAATGAGAAATACTGCTCTTGTGTCTTGATTGAAACATTGTTGTTGTTTTTAAACTGACATTTGATCTAGAGCAAAATTCCAGGTCAGAACAATATTTTCCCCATCATTGTGGTTCAACAAATATTGATCTCTTGGGATAAAATGAAATTTTCCCTATTTAGCAAGAATTCTGTCTTCTCAGTTCTTTCCAATATAGAAGGGATTCAATTTCTAAACATATACTTAATACTAGTCTAAATATGAACTTGATACTAGACATGCAATAAAATAATAGGGTCTTTTCTGCAACATACCCAAAACTTGAAGGCTGTAATGCTTATTATCCACCCCAGCTCTATTGGAGGCCACACAAGTGTACACACCGACATCAGACACCTGAGCTCTCACAATCCTGAAAAACAATGTGATCCGACTAATTGTATTCCATTCAACAAAAACAGAATTTAGATGCTTCAAATACAATTTATTCTCTGTATGCCACTGAAAATATAACAATTTGAGGGGTGAATATATTTCAAATATGCATTAATAAAAGTAAACAAAATTTTACAATTATAGTAGGCATCTTCCTACCATCTTCTGCCATATACCTAGTTTTTAGCAAAAACAGTAGTTACTGGAAATAAAATTGTGATAATATGCTTGTCTGTGAAAAGACTAATATTGTATAAATTTACAAAAATATGAGCCTTTAAATAAGAATCAAAATAATTCAATTTTGTATTTATTATCTTCACTCTTTGAAAGATATACAGAAGTGGGGGAACCACAATAAAAACTTAGCAAGAAATATTTCTTAAACACTCTTTGGATGAAGGAAAGGTTTAAAATGACAGCTACTTTATTGTTCACACACAATAAAATCTGACCTGATAATGTGCCCTCCTGACAATAGTCGGATATGGGAGGAGAGAGGCAGTGGGAGTCCATTTTTTAGCCAGTTTATTTGTGGTGGAGGTGACCCCGTGGCTCTGCATTCAATATTAATTGAAGTATCCAACATAGTCATTATTTTTTCTGATTCTTCTTTATTACCCCTGATTACAGGTGGAGCTATGCCATGCAGCCAAAGAGAGGGAGAGAGTGTGGAAAAAGAAAGAGAGAGAGAGATGCATATGCATTACTACTCAAATCATTTCCACAACAATTGCTCATATTTCTGCTCTAAAATCAAGGAAACTACAATGATATCAGATTTAAAAATAAATGCTCCATATATATATTGCTGTATTTTTATTTCTACTGATAGATTCCTAAGGTAACATAGCCAAAAAGAAGGTGAAACTTTAAATTTACCATAGACATTCAAATTAAAAATTCGGTCCTCTTCTCCAGCAGGATTAGTAGCAACACAAGTGTATTTCCCCATGTCAGTTTTGAGAGTGTTGTAAATGTTTAATGTGCTGCCATCTGGAGTCACCCTGTAGAAAAAGCCATAGTAGAGTCAATTTGTATAGCAAAGCCCTGGCATGGAGCTGTAGGAGAAGCACTGCTAACCATAAGGTGGGTAGTTCAAACACATCAATCATCCTCAAGAAACTCTATACTGGTTTGTTATGAGTCGGAACCGACTCCACAGCATTGAACAACAACATCAACAACAATAAAGATCTGGAATACTCACGTCAGACTATTATGTTCTCCTAACAACACCAACATAAAATGATGTCTTCATTCTTGGATATAATATTCAAATCTATTTTATTAAGTACATTTGTTGGTGTTAGATGCCATGGAGACGGTTCTGACTCATAGTCATCCTAGGGATTTCCAAGAAACAGTTGATGGGTTTGAACCACTGACCTTGTGGTTAATAATCCAGTGCTTATCCTATATCACACATGGGAGCCTATAAAAATTAAAGCTAGTAAAATGGCTGCAGATTTCAGGCAGACAATAATTATGAGAACTTTGTAAATGTTTAATGTGTTGCCATCTAGAGTCACCTATAGAAAATACCCTAGTGAGTCACTGAGGGATTTACATGGAGCAAAGTCCTGATAAGGCTCTATAATAATGTGCCACATAGTCACATGACTTCTTATAAGAAAAAAGAAATGCACAAAATCACATAAGGAATTCTCTTTCCAAGTCATAAACATAGATAGGTTTTCTTCAGGGTTAGAATATTTTTATCTTTAGTTCTCAATATTAGGTTTCAAATCAATGAAAATTATCAATACTCTGGTGTGAAAACCGAATAATGTTATATACTGAAGAAATTGTACATAAAAAAATTTAGCTTGATTCTGAGAAGGAACAGAAAAGGGTAATTATTTAAACTGTGAGAATAACTCAGTGTCATATGTAGGGTTGCTGTATCAAATTTTTATACAAATTGCCTAAACATTTTCTTTGAAGTACATAATAGCAATTGATAAGTATACCATTATATCATTAAGTGATGTTGTTGTTGTTAAGAGCTATAGAGTTGGTTCCAACCCATAGTGATTCTGTATAGGGTTTCTGAGGTACAACTGATGAGCTTGAACTGCCGACCTTGCAGGTCAAACCGATTTGAAGTCCAGTGCATTAACCCACAGTGCCACACCAGGAGTCCGGATATATATCTAAATTAAGATTACTATATTATTCGTTTTCTTCACAAGACATCAATTAGTCAAAGCACAACTTCTTGTGTTTTATAAAGAGATTAGATTGCTATTTGCAGTTACTCTTATAGTAGTGCCTTCTCAAATCTTCCAGTTTAAAAATATGTACTCAATCTCTAATATGTCATATAATTAGATATGATTAAAATATCATAATGTGAGTCTAGTTGTGTTTCCTTGTCTTCAAAATACAAATTAAAAAGTTTCCATGAGTTTAAACTGTACGAATAAACAAAAAAAGGATTTTGATGTGAGCACAGGAAAGCAGTAAGTTGGCTTTGGAAGAATTGCTCTATTTTATTGACGAGCTGTTTCACTTACACATCTACACATTTTATAAATCAGAGAATAAATATCACTCAGAAACATGAATATAAGAAGTAAATGTAGGTTATTAATGTAAGAGAAGGAGTGATAAGCTCTAAGTTCCTAAGTACAAATAGTGTTGTTGTTGTTAAGTGGTGGTTGTGTGCTGTAGAGTTAGTTCTTATTCATAACAACTCTGTATAGGATTTTCAAGGCTTTAAATCCTTGTGGAAGCAGAAAGCCTCATCTCTTTCTGCTTGAAAGAGCAGCTGGTGGGCTTGAAATATGGACCTTGTGGCTCGTAATCTAGTGCTTATCATATAGAGCCACTGAGCTCCCAAGTAAAAATATTATTTCATATAATATCTGTAAGTCCCACCAAGTATCTAGTATTTCCCTTGGTATGTGGTTGCTAATAGTTGATTTAATAATAAATAATCAAATACTTGTTAACTACTCAGAAATATTAACATCAGCAAATTAAAATTTATATCCTTCAAGGGGGCTTCAATTCAATTTGTAGAAAAATTGAATCAAAAGAAAGTGGAATTTTCCCATTAACTTTTTGATTGAAACTCCTTGGCATTTCTGAAATGATATTTGCTATTTTATATAATCTTATACAATAGATAGATATATAAATTTTAATATGCAATAAATATAAAGAAATAACATTTTCTTCAAGCTACATTTGTTCAATGGATTGACTAAAAAGTTACATTCCAAACTCTTAAGTTTAAAATAAAACAGTAAACTTTTAGTACATAAGTGGACTTCCAAGAGGTTCATTCTGGTTCGAGAATTTGCTCTCCACCCTACATATACTGAATCAGGATCTACATTTTAAACAAGATCCCTAGGTGATTCCTGTACACACAGAACTCACCTGGTAATCTTGCTAAAGTGTAGATTCTGATTCAGTATATCTGGGGAGGAAAGGAAATTCTCAGCAGGAGGTTAAAAAAGAATGACATTCCAAACCCTGGTTTAAAATACATTTAATTAATGTCTATTTGTATATGTATGATTCTTTTAATAACTATAATTACCTGGTATGAATATACAGTGGAGCTATGTAATTAAGTAATCTCTAGTATAGAATTCTAGATTAGCCTTCCAAAGAAATTTGTATTGAAAGACGCTGGAGATACTTGCCACAATATTATTCTTTTATGTGACATGCATAATAAGAAGATTCATATGAAAATGAGATTTGGACAAAAAAAATTAACAGCGAAGGACTTGGATTATGGTTTATTATGTGTATTCTGAAAACAATTGAAGCATTATTGAATGTTAACTATTTGGTGGTTTCATAACAGAAAATGATATCCAGGCTTATTGATGATTATTCATTAGGATTATTTACAAAACAAAAAAGATAAAAATCAGGTTATCCTAATATTTACAAAACAATCTAAACACAAAAATCTAGAAACATACATCTAAATTCCAGACACAAAAAATTTCCTTTATGTGTCCAAATTTTTATCTCTTTTTTAACCTAAATTTTTTATCTTTTTGTTTTGTCAACATTATGAGAGTCAAATGGGACAGAATTTGGTCTTTTTATTCATGAGAAATTGAAAGCACAAAGCTTTCATAGGAGACTTTACAATTTATAATATAAAGATATCTTTTAAACATACCGTATTTTTGCTTCAGCACTGGTTATGGGGTTTCCATCTCTAAGCCACTGAATAACTGGAGTAGGTATACCATTTGCCTTGCACACCAGCTCAACATTTTCTCCTACAAGAACACTGACTTCACTTGGCATTTCAGCCCCAACAACACTTGGAGGAACTTTAGAGACACAAACAGGACTTTCATTAAGGTACATGGATATAAATTCTAATGAACACAACAAAATCATAGAATAGTATGACATTTCTATTCCTAATTCACTTTCTTCCTAGATTTAAGGGTCAAGATCAAACTACTGTTATCCACTTGAATTATTTTTAAAGGAGCGATAGGTAAAGGAATTTCCTCCATATTCCTGTAAATCACCATAATTAACCATGTGACATCTATTGATGACACCCTGTGGTTATGCTTCCATAAGTCCTGGCTGGAATCATTCTTAGATTGATATAAAATAGATGGCTTAGAATCAATTGATTAACTTTTTAATCTTTTAATTAATTAACTTTTAAACAAAGTTTTCCATAACTTTTAAGTATCAACTTATGTTATTTATTTCTTCATGATCTAATTTAAAGTTTATTTATTCTGAATAGTGAATAAGCTTACTATAGGTTTCAAGATCTAGTAGCTTTTGTTTTCTATTTCTATGCATCTTTGGTTTTCATTTTCATGATCATTAAGAAATAATATGCAATAAGAATATAGACAAAGTTATTATAAACTGATTTAATTTCCTTTTCTGCATTTACTAGCAAACTTATACAACTTCAATTTTGTGTTGGAACCAGCTCACAAAAGTCAATTGTACAACAGAATGCAGGATCCTATCCAGAGAAGCAGCAATACCAGAAATGGAGGCAGAGATGAGGAGATGGAGAGTAGGAGAAGCTGAGGACTCTAGACTCATGGAAAGAAAAGGACAGAGTGCTGGAGGCCAGGAGGCAGACTTGCAGAATGTGGCCTTTGGTTGTTTAAATTATTATATGTTCCTGAGTGTTTTTATGTACATCTCCCAACCCCTTCAAAAAAAAAAAGAAAGAAAGGAAAGAAAAACAGAGGGAATGGAAGCAAACACTGTTGTGATGCACGAAGGAGATTGTAGTCATTGCAATGAAATGATGGTGTAAAGTTGATGTCCTCCCATGTAATCTATCACTTAGTTTACACACACACACACAAAAAAAGTCAATTGTGCACATGTTTTCCTTACTCTGTTTAGCGACATCACATTGGTAGCTTGAAATTGACCATGGTGATAGTACTTACACATGGAAATTGGCAAATGCTACAAATTAAGGCCTTTTTGCCAGGAGAGTCTATTGCTAAACATTTGCCAATACTTTACTGCACAATCTCTCCAAATCTCAGATTAGTCATCCAAAAAACGATGGTAATTAAATACACTAAATTCAGAGTATTCAAGAAATAAGAATGTTAATAACAGCCATCTTACATTAAATATCTAAGGTATAACAAGCATTCGACTTTATAATGTCTTTGCACTAAAAATTATATATGTTGTTGTGAAGTGCTGTTGAGTTGGTTCTGATATATAGCGACCCTGGACAGGATTTCTGATAAGCAGCTGGTGAGTTTGAACCACCAACCTTGCACTTTAAACTGACCTTATGATCGAGTATTTGTCCCATGGCATCACACCAGAACTCCAGAAATTATATATACATAATATTAATATTGGAATCTTGGTGTGGTTCCATAGGATAAGCACTTAACCTCAAGGTCAGTTTGAAACTGCATGGTTGCTGGTTCAAATGCACCAGCCACTCCTTAGAAACTCTATACAGGGTCGCTGTGATTTGGAACCAACTTAACAGCACTTAACAACAACAACATAATATTAATACTAGTTTGTCTTACTGTGTTGGCTTTGTGTGTTACTGTGATGCTGGAAGCTATGTCACCAGTATCTTAAATACCAGCAAGGTACACCTACAATGGACAGGTTTCTGCTGAACTTCCAGACTAGACAGACTAGGAAGAAGAAGCAGACTATTCCTGAATGTTTAGCCACTGAAAACCTATGAATAGCAGAGGAGCACTGTCAGATAGCACCAGAATATTGAATGTTGAAACATGGTGAAGAGCACCAGAATATTGTCAGATAGAATGGGAGATTAGCCCCTCTGGTTGGAAAGTACTCAAAATATGAATGGGAAGAGCTGCCTCCAAAAAATAGAATTGACCCTGATTACAGGAATGGAGTAAAACTTTTGAGACCTTCATTTGATGATGTGGTACAACTCTTAATTAGAAGCACCATCTATTAATAATCAGAACATGGAATATACAGAGTATGAATGTAGGAAAATTGGAAGTTGTCAAAATGAAATCGAACACATAAAAATTGGTATCCTAGGCATTAGTGAGATGAAATGTAATGCTATTGGCCATTTTGAACCTGATAATCATATGGTTTCCTATGCCAGCAATGACAAATTCAAGAGGAATGGTGTCATATTTATCATCACAAAGAACAATTCAAGATCTATGTTGAAGCACAACACTGTCTGTGATAGGATAATATTCATAACAACTACAAGGAAGACCAGTTAAAACCACTATTATTCAAATTTATGTACCAACCACTAAAACTAGTGATGAGACTGAAGAATTCTATCAATGTCTTCAGTCTGAAATTGATCAAACATGTAGTCAAGATCTGTTGATAATTAGTGGTGATTGGAATGCAAAGGTTAGAAACTAAGAGGAAGGATCAGTTGCTGGAAAATATGGTCTTGGTGATAGAAATCATGCTGGAGATCGCATGGTAGAATTTTTCAAGACCAATGACTTATTCATCGCAAATACCATTTTCAAACAATATAAAAGATGACTATACACACGGATCTAACCAGATGACATACACAGAAATCAAACTGACTACATCTATGGGAAGACATGGTGGAAATGGTTGACCAGTCTATGGTGAGCACACCTTACTAGTGTTATTTTCTCCCCTATATACCTAGGCGATGGAGAGTTTTATTTCAGACCTAAAGGGTGGATGAGAACCACAGTCTCATGCTCCTCTCTGTAAATCTTTATAGGAGTAGACCGTCTCATCTTTCTTCTACAAGGAATTTATTGGATTGTGGCTTAGGGCCTAATCGACAGTGACCTTGTAGTTAGAAACTCAACACCTAACCGACAGAGCCACCAAGGCTGCTATGTAATATACTGAAGTATATAATTTCTAGTTCAAAGACATCATAAATTACATATCAAGACTCGAAAAATGTTTGATCATAACTCTTATACTATAATTAGCATCATTATTATTTATATGTTGTTTCAACAATGCATCTTTACTAAGTAAATATTTTTTGCACTTACGCTTCTGAAATATCGAACCATCACCAATCATTACATAGAAAACACAACTGATAAACATAGGAAATGAAACTGATAAACATAAAAATATTTCAGTTTCATTTTATTTTCAGTATTTGGACAGCAGCTTTCACAGTACACAAGTAGATAGTAAACATTCACAGTTACAATGATAATTTATGAAAAATAATTTTTATAATAACAAAAAATTTAAAACAAACCCGCATTTCAACTTAATTTCAAGTTAGACTTACAGGTCATTTTAAATATTAAGTCAAAGGTTTTAACCAGAGGTTTACTGAAAGTCAAAAGTATCTAGTTTCTTTTCACAGTGCTAAATACTCTGCCCAGAGTTATCATCCACTAAGTATTTGTTGGCTAGAAAAATTTTCCTTATTCTTACCCCAAAATAGTATAAGATTCCTGTTTATTTGAAAATTATCTTAATTCCTTATCTGTGGTTATAACAGAGTGCAAACTCTTTATGAATTAAATCTTACTTATCTATATAAAAGGAGCTCTGGTGGTATTGTGAATTAGGCATTGGGCTACTAACTGTAAGGCTGCCAGTTCAAATCCACCAGCAGTTCTGAGGGAGAAAGCTGAGGCTATCTTTTCCCATAAAGATTTACAGCCTTGGAAACCCTACAGAGGGTTGCTATGAATCAAAATTAACTCAGTGACAGTGGGTTGGTTTTTTTGGGTTTTCTTTAAAAAAATATAAATATATAAGAATAGTTCTATGGGGATTGTTGTTGTTGTTAAATGCCATCCATTAGGTTCCAACCCACTGCAACCCTGTATAAGGTCAAGTAAACTATGCCAGTTAAAAATAATAAATATATGAGCTCTATATGAGTTAAAGAGTACATATCGAATATATATTACAGAAAGGTAACAATTAGTAAACATGGAAAAAATAGAGATCACTGAATTTCCATTGTTCTTGTTCCATATATGTATTCAGCTCCATGAAAATTAAACTTCCTGGTAAACTGATAGTCTTTTTTGTTGATCTAAAGATATTTTACATTATAAAATACCCCTTTAAATGCAGTCTTATTTAGAACTATAAATGGAATATAATAAAGGAATTAAATACAAATCTCAGTGTATCCCACATACCTTGAATTGAAAGAACGTAATTTTTCTGTGCCTTTCCCTCCATATTTGATGCAATGCATGTATAGTTTCCACTATCTGAAAACTGAGACCGGGCAATTTGGAGTTTGCTACCTCCAGACAAAATATGAACTTCAAGTGAACCAGAATTTTCTGTAGTCACAAAGAAAAACAAAATAAAACACAGATAAGATTTTATTTAAATATCTCTATAGTTCACTATAAAAACATCTTGCTCTATGTGCTAACTGCATTTCTTAAAAGTTTTCCATTATATTTTTTTCTTAAATGAGTTTTTTTTTTTAAACAGAAAGATAAATTTTTACAAAAATTAATAATCATTTTATTTTTCATCTGCTTTTAAAAACTTTTAATTCTGATTTGAGTGAAAACTTACAGAGTAGATTTTTTTTCATTCAACAATTCATACCTGTTTTGTTTTGTGACATTAATTGCAATTCTTACAATATAACAGCACTGGTCCCAGTTTCTTCCTGTGTTTACCATTTCCATTTGTCTTTCTTTCCTTATCTATTCCTGCCTTCTGTGCTATGTTGTTAAGTGTCATTGAGTCCGTTCTGACTCACAGCAACCCTGTATAGGGTTTTTGAGGAGCAGCTGGTGAGTCTGAATCACTGATCTGGTGGTTCACAGTCCAATGTTTATTCAACAGCACCACAAGAGGAGTTCTGAGCTATATCCATAGGCAAATGCCACCCTTTTGATCTTGAACCGGCTGAATATTCTAAGGAGTGGGGTTATTGTTTGCTAATCTGTTGTTTAGCTGAAAGTTGAACCACAGGGTAAATTCAGCCCCAGACTTGACAGGTGATTAAAGACCACTGTGTCGAGAGTTCTATTAGTTTCTATCACACCAATAAGTCTAATCTTTTTTATGGACTGAGTTTTAGTCCACATTTTCTCCTAATCTATACAGGACCACCAGCACTGTTAGTCAGGCACCATCTAGTTTTTAGCCTCAGGATCATGGAGACTGGGGTTCCTATAGTCCATTATTAGCCTTTTAGAGTAATTGTTTTCATGCGTCTTTAATTTTCACTTTTCTTTGCCCTAGATGGGGAGAGAGCAATAGTTGCACCTTAAATGGCCGCTCACAGTCATTAAGACTCCGCTTGTTACTCAACAAAGTAGGATGTAGAACACTGTCTTGGTGACAATTGATCTTGATGCCACCCCTTCCTAGGATCCTGAGCACCTAGACCCAATGACTCCTTCTCTCAAGGTGTTTGGTTATGTCTAAGAAGCTCATATAACTTTGCCTTATGAATATATTTATAGCACATACATTTGTTGTTGATAAGTACCATCAAGTCAGTTTTAACTCATAGTGACCCTGTACAGGAGTGACTGGTAGGTTTGAACCACCAACCCTGTGGCTAACAATCCAGTGCTTATCCTACAGCACCACAAGAGCATTGGTGTGTAGAAATATTATCTGGCAAACTTCTATATGGTCATAAGTATAGCCCTTTTGGTCAGCCCATACTGATTCATTTTGCCTCTATGCCTATTAATGTTTGTTATTACTGATAGTACAAGACTGTGTATATGATATTATTTACCTTTGTTGCCTGTTTAGTCTATTTTCAAGTATATATTTCAGTATTTTAAATTTTCTTCAAAAGATCCCTGGTGGCACAATTGTTAAGTGTTTGGCTCTAACCTAAATAGTAAGAACCAACAAACTACTATTCAGGAGATGTTGTTTTGTTGTTAGGTACCCTGGAGTGGGTTCTGACTCATAGTGAGCCTGCACAGGGGTTCCAAGGCTGTAAATCCTTAAGGGAGCAGAACGCCTCATCTTTCTCTTGCAGAACTGCTGGTAGTTTCAAACTGCCGACCTTGAGGTTAGCATCCCATTTCGTAACCACTACGTTACCAGAGCTCTTTCTACTCAGGAGATAGATGTTGGTAATTTGCGTCCGTAAAAATTAAAGACTTGGGAACTCTATGTGACAGTACTACTCTGTGAATTGAAATTGTTACTGAGTTGCTAAGAATTGGAATTGAGTTACCGGCAATAAATTTGGTTTGTGCTGGCTTGGTTTAGGCTTTCTTCTTGTGAATCCAGCCATTATCATAATATTGAAAATGTGCTAGTTTAAAAATCTAGTCAATTAAGAATAAAAGAAAACAACTATACATAATAATGCAGAAATCTGTTACCTATGGCCTTGTTGTTTTTTAACCATGCTATTGTGGGAGGTGGGATCCCTGTGGCATCACATGTTAGGGTCACAGGATTACTGATTGTCTCAACAACCACTTCATCTTCAGGACCTTCAATACTGGGTGGAACTGTAAAAAGAGAGAAGAAACCATGTGTCCTCATTAAGCTCATTAGGGCAAGTTTTTTCATTTGCATATCTGGGGGAAAAAAGAGTTGTATTACAGGCAGATGCTCACCATATACATTGAGGTGGAAATTTTTATCATCCCGTCCTGCTACATTTATAGCTCTACATACATACTGGCCTGTGTCAGATACCTAAAAGAAAAAGATACTATTGTATGTGCTCCATTATGTTATAGATGACCAATCACACTATTCCAGTGTAGATTAAATCATCAGTCATCTTTATGTTCAAACGCCCCAGTTCTTATTGCTTTCACTAAGCCTTCCTTTACTTTTTTTTTTAAACCATAAAATCAATAGCATCGAAGACTTAATTTTTCATTTAGAATTCATTTTCACTATAGATTATTGTTTCAACAATAAAAATCGAGAACTCTAGAGATGGACAGAAAATTCAAGAAATAATTCTAAACAAAACTTGCAACTATCTCTTTTACCTTCCCACAAAGGAATGACATAAAAGCAAAAATCAAAGATGCACCTCAGCTTTCTTGATGTGCAGCATTTGTCCATCTAATAAAATCTCCAAGTGAGTAGACTCTGTTAACATCCGCCCATTCTTATACCAAGTGATGACTGGAGGTGGAACAGCATTTGACTCACACTCCATGGACACTGAAATTCCTTCTCTTACATTAATTACAGAAAGAGACTCACTGCCATGATCTTTAATGCTTGGAGGCACTGAGGGAAAGAAACAAGAACAGAGGTATATTTTCCCATTAATGTGTTCAGACAGAATTATCTATATCAGTTTAAAAATGAAATGATTTTATGAGGAGAGTAAAAACAAACCATAAACAGTCAAAGAAACTTTTTTCTTGCTTTCACCAGCTTGGTTGATAGCTATACAAGTATATTCACCACCATCAGATACCTTGGCCCGAATAATTTGTAGAGTTCGACCACCTAAAATACAAATTGAAATGTGATACAGAGGTTATTCCAACTGCTTCAGATAAATAGCAAAATATTTCCTTTCACTTGGAGTAAGATGGATACAGAAGGGTTTTATATTTAAAATGGAAGAGTTGAATCAGTTTTACCTGATCCTCGCTTTACTATTAATTCTATTTCCTTTTAAAGGAAGATACTTACAGATTTTTCTCCTCAGTAAACAAGGATCATAGAACTGTATGGTATAGATTCTACTAAGCAAACAGTAATTGTACTTAGGCAAAATATGTCAAATATTTCTGGTCTTAAAATCTATTCATCCGTCCTCAAGGAACTATACTATTGATTTAAAACAACCAGAGAATCCATCAAATGAAAAAGATATTTATCAAGTTACCACTCCCATAGAATTAATAAGCAGATCTGTTCCTATATTTCATAATTTGTTGAGGATGCTTTGTTATTATGTTTTCCTACTAAAATCATAACTGTCTGCATAACCCTTATCCTAATGGCTTTAAATAGGTAAATGGAACAAAACAAAACTTTGAAAGGAACAAAGATGAAATACAACTTGTATTCAAGGTAAAGTAAAATGAGAAAAGCGTATAAGGATATTAATAGATTATCTTAATTTTATTTCATTATACCATGTCATTACATATCATATATATTATATCATATAAAAATATTTTTAGGAATAATATATTCCTTACCAGGCACAATGAGAGCATTTGTGTTTGGGTTCATGGGATGCTCATTCTTGAGCCAGCTGAGATCAGGAGGTGGAAAACCAGACACCTCACACGTCAGAGAGATGAAATTGTTCACAACAACAGTCACATTTTCAGGGTTAGGACCAATGACACTTGGAGGAACTACAATCACAAATGTAGTAAAAGTCAAACCTGATGTAAGCATGTACATTCCAATTTTTTAGTCAAACCACTGAACTCTGCTACAGCACTGAGTTAATGATATCAGCAATAAACTAGAAAGTATTCCTGTGATTCCTACAAATATTTACACCTGTGTGATGAAGTTCTTTTTCTTTTTAAAATGTCTTAATGCCTTCATCAAATTCACTCCAACACTTTCACTTTTCCCAGTTGAAAGAGGATACCAGATATTTTGCATTTTATTTGTAAAACACTTTGGGAGCTCCTTAGATGGCTTTGTCAATGTATAAAGTCCTTTTACTAAGAACAGTTGACTATTCTTGTTTATAATAATACATCCTTATTTAAACATTTTCTTCCTTTTAAACCAATGAAAGAGTATTTAGAAATTTAATGTTAGGGTATTTATCAATAAATAGTACAGATTTTTGTTTCTACAATATAGGTTGCGAACTATTGAGATGGACAGAAAATTTAAGAAATAAACAATAGCATTAAGTTTCTTGTTCAAAATAAAAAAAGTAATTTAAAAAGCAAAAGCAGTGCTGAGAGAAAAAGTGGAGCAAAAATATGACTTTCAAATGTAATATCATTCATATGTGTTTAATATATGCATACAAAGCAATGTACATTTCATAAGACTATATGCAAATAGAAGTAAAAACAAATCATTTGAATAACTTTGTATGATGTGGGTGGGAGTATGCAAGTAAGGAAGAGGTATAAAAATGAGTGAATAAATGAATGAATGAATACACTAATGAAACGATTAATAAATAAAAGAAGACATGGCTCTTGCTATAACTAATGAAGATAGTGAGACATGAACTATGAAATATAATTTATATTTTGTGATCTTAAGATAGGTCTCAAACCATAAGAAAATTAGAACATGAGTAAAGGCAAAAATGTCTCTTTTTTCTTTAAATATTAAACATCCATAATTAATTCTAATACTCTTCATTAATTCATTTATTTATCAAATATTTACTGAATAGGTACTATGTGCTAGACATTGTGCTTCATGCTGAGGATGCAGTGTGGAAAACATTTTGACAATATCCATATAGAGTTAATGATTTGGTGGGGTTGCCAGGCACTGCATTAGAAACAGTTACCATTTTTTGAGTGCCCAAACTATGCCAGGCACTGGTCTATACAATTCACATATACCATTGCATTGATGCCTCCTTTAACCTTATGTATTAGATACAGTTCTTATCAATATGTAAGACAGAAAGAAATTGAGACATAGAGGTTAGTATTTGCCTAAGAGGACACAGATAGCTATTTGAAGTTACAGACTTGAAAGTGAAGCAGTCTGGCTCTAGAGTTCATTTTCTTAGTCATTGTTCTGTACTATCTACTGATTCCAAATGACAACAGGTCATTATATATAGATTTGGGGAATCAGGGAGACTTCCTAGAGAAAGTAACATAAGAGACTTGAAATATGACCAGGGCTTAGCTAAATAGAAGAGAGAAAAGGGATGTGGCTTCTAGAAAGACGGCACAGCATATGCAAAGACTGACATGGGGAAAAGAACACAGTACCTAGAAGCCTGGCAGGATTTGAAGAGAAGTGGGTGGGAGAAGGATTAAAGGGCTAAACAAATAAAAGACCCTACAGGATGCTCTGGACATCATTAACAATGTTGAAATATATATATCCAATGGGAAGCAGAATGGTGATTTCATAAAAGAATTTTAAAAATTATCTTCCTGCAGCAAAGAGAAGTGATTAGAAGGCTAATGGAGCTGAAAATAGTTAGAAGGCTCTTTCTGTATTAGGAGCCTATGATTATAGTAGTTGGGTTTGGGATGGTGTCAGAGGATCAAGTAAAGTTGGTATGCCCCAGAATATTTTGTAGGAAGAATGATCAGGACTTTGTATTTTAGGGAGAAGGCTGAGGAGTTATGGGTGATGCTTAGGATTCTGGGTTGAACAAGAGGTAGGTAGTGGTTTCCTTATGTAGACAAAGAAAGGAGGAGGAACATAATTTTGGGAAAAGGTAAGGAGTTTAATTTTATACATGTTGTTTTAGACAGACTATTAGACATGTATATAAATATGAAGCAGATATATGGATAGAAGAGACTGGGACTCTTGGGGGCCCTGGTTGGAGTTAGAATCTTGGAAACTATTTGCACATGACAGTAACTGAAATTTGGAAGTGAATGAGATTATCTCCAAATAGAACAAGTTCTAGACCTCTAAAAACTGTAAAATTTTAATGGTTGGGTAAAGACAGGACTATCAAAAAGAAGAGACATTAGAAAAGCCAAATATACACAAAGGATGTGGGTGCCCAAGGAAGAAAAGATTATTCTAGAAGGACCCAGGATTGGCAAATGCTTGAAAAGATGAAGTAAGGAAATGAAGTGTGAAAAGTACCCCCTGGACTTATTAACAAAAGGTCATTTAGTGAAGTCAGTAACAGTTTCAATGCAGTTATAGAGCTGGAAAACAGAATGTAATGGTGGGAGGAATGAGTGGGAAGCAGAGCCATTAAATACATACAGTTATTAGAGAAGTTTGCCTTGAAATGAGGGAGAAAAATAAGGAATAGCTGGAGAGAAATGTGATGTCTACAAGAGACCTCTTTTCTTTTTTCTTTTTTAAATGTAAGAGACTGTTCAATTTATGTGCTGTTGGGAAGGAGTCAGAGAAGAGTGAGACTTTCCATATTTGAGATAAAGATATGACACTGTGAGATATTTGAAGAAGTGGGAGGCAGGGATCTAGAATTCAGGTTAGTCTTTGGTATTAGGAAGGTGATGGTGGTAGTGAGTGTGTGCCGTCTAATTGACTCTGTATAGAGTTCTTGAGGCTGTAAATTTTATGGGAGTAGAACGCTTCATCTTTCTCCCATGGTGTATCTGGAGGACTCAAACTGCTGAATTTGTGGTTAGCAGCCCAACATGTAACTCACTATGTCACCAGGACTCCTGATTGGGAAAAATAGAAGGCTATTTCTCTCCTTTTCTGTAACAGGAAAGAAAGAATAAGTGGAAGAAACAGACACAAGCAGTAATTTCAATCTCATGGTAAGAAGTTGAGCTGATTGTTGTGCGAGCCCTCCTTTATCCCTGGCAAAACAGAAGATGAACAAATTTACTTGAAGAGATTGGTGAATGTGTGAGATAGTCATGGAATAGAAACTAGGCTAGACAGTATGGAAAGCCCAGTTAACTCCAGCCTTTACTCCAGCACTGCTTAGCTCCATACATAGATAAAGTGCATATGTGAAATTTACTGTAAAAGAGAAAAGAAGTTTAGTGAAAAACAAAACTCTCAAATAAGACTGCCTAGTTTAAAATCCTGGTTCTGCACTTGCATTCCGTTAACTTCGAAGATGTTATTTATTCAATCTGAGACTCAATTTTCTCATCTGTGAAAGTGGTATAAAATGCTGTCAAACACCTGGAGTTATTAGGCTATTTAAGTAATTCTTAATAATAACACATATAAAGTACTCGACACAGCACCTAGTAAGCATTAAACAGTCCATTTATTTTTGTTGAAGGAGCCCTGCTGGCACAACAGTTACAGCTTGGCTGCTAACTAAAGGCTGGCAGTTCAAACCCACTCAGTGGCTTCTCAGGAAAAAGACCTAGTGCATTGCTGCCTAGAAAAGCATACTTTCTCACAAGAGGTCACTATGATTTGATAAACAATTGACAGCACCTAACAATAACAGCAACGTAACATTGTTGTTATAAACATGTAGAGTTGAACTTTTGCTAGGCAAAAGCTATAATAAGGCATGGGTTAAGAAATATAATTAAAATGATGTTCCATGAAAGTTAAAATGGATGGAAAGGAAAGTGAAGGTTGAAGGTGGTTGAGAAAAATTGACAAGTCAGTAGACTTAAAAGTTAGAATAAGAAAACATAGGTGTAGTAAATGGCGTGGCTTTAAGTAAAAATAATTTCTATTACTCCTCACCAAAATGCCTTTTCCAATATTTGAGTGAGTTCCTGATTAGTCAGAAGTTAATAACAACATTAACTGGTGAAGGAAAAAACTCATCTTGAACTCCAATTCTTAATGGTAAAACACTACTTGATACTTCCTCTCAAGTCACCTGAGGCTCCCACTTTAGGTATTTCAACTGTGCACTAAGAGGCGGCAATGAATATGTTGGAAATATAGTAAATGAACTGAAAATATTTACTTAGCAAGCACTACAACTACCCACCAGCAGCTCTATGTGAGAAAGATGAGGGATTCTGTTGCTGCAACATCAAGAACTACAGATTTCATTTTAAATTTAGGGAGACCAAACTAAGTAATGCCCATTGTTGCTAAGTGCCATCGAGTCAGTTCTGACTCATTGTGACCCTGTATAGGATTTAACACTTAACAACAACAACAGCAAGTATTAAGAATTTCATTTTGATAAATTTTTATGGATTAGTTGGATATGTTGGTGGTTTTCAGGAATTATTTAATTTCATAAAGTGACTTTTTCTTCCCCATGAGTATACTGGGCAGAGGACAATGTAGCTCAACATAAATTCTGAACTTGGGAAAAGAGAGTGGTTCTAATGAAAATCAGTGGATTATTTTTCAAGAGTGGTGGTGGTGGTGGGATACCATGGAGTCAGTTCCAACTCATAGTGACCCTATATTAGATTTCTGAGGTTGTAAATCTTTACAGGAGCAGAAAGCCTCATCTTTCTCCCATGGAACACCTGGTAGTTTTGAACTGCTGACTTTGAGGTTAGCAGCGTAATTCGTAACCACTATACTACCAGAGTAGAAGACCTCTATTTGGCTCAAATGTCATATCAATTTGTGATATCTGGGATTTCAAATTTTCATTTTGCTTTCATATATATAGGAATTAACTACTTCCTCTTGAGGGCCTGAAATAATGTTTAAAATAAAGACTTCCTAGATTTGTACTTTGGAAACCTACTAGCTATGGTGGGAAGGAAAAAAGGAGGAGATGAAAAATGTAGGTGCGACACATTGTCCAAGTTAAAAAGTAGAAAACAAGCCTACATCTTCTAAAACATGGTTTTAGTGATTTCTCATGAATACTCTAACAGATGTTTTTGGAATTGAGTTCTTACCATGAACATTGAGGTTAAAATATTTTTTGGTGCTTCCAGCTGTGTTCTCAGCAACACACACATACCTGCCGGTATCTGTTATTTGAGTATTTAGAATCTAAGGGAAAAAAATAAAGAAATTCCAATAGAAACTTTTAATAAAGCAACTTGTCATCATTGTCACTAATTTTTAGGAAGAGGAATACAAAACGTATAATACATATTACTTCTAGTTAATACCAGATGAACATGAAGGAAAAATTATTGTTAACATGATAATGCTAATATTGACCTTTATAAGTTAGGTCAATCAAATAACTTTTTTTTGAAACCTTTTGTTGTACATTGGGAGAAAATTTACAGAGCAAATCAGCTTTCCATTCAACAATTCATACACACTTTGTTTCATGTAATTTACTAAAATCTCCACAATGTAACATCAATTAGCCATTTCCTCCCTGTGTTTCCTGTTTCCATTCCTCCTTTTTCCCTAACCCTTCCTGCCTTCTGAATTTTGCTCTTGAGCAAATGTTGCCCTTTGGATCTACCTCCCTAATGTTATTGCTCTCCTCACAGAACTGTCTATTGTTTGGCTGAAAATTGAGCCACAGGGGAGAATACAATTCCAGACCTGAAGGGTGGCCAAGGGTTAATTTCAGAGGTTACCAGCAGTCTTCATTTGACTAGTAAGCCTGGTCTTTTTCATGAGTTTTGCTTCACATTGTTCTCCCACTCTATTCTATCTAACTACTTATCAAGATTTTCAAATGGCAGTTGTAAAAGTAGTAGTGGAAGATCGACTACAGAAATGTCCCAAATGTAGACCTAATTGTAAAACCTAAAAAAAATGAAAAAATACAGACAAACTTAGGGGCTCTAATATATAGCATAAATACACTGTCAAGCATTGCTAAAAGCACACAAAAAGTAGAAGACAAAATAGATGACTGATACCTTCCAAAAAATTAGACACTTTAGTGCATGAGAAGATTTCACCAAAACAGTACAAAGAGAACACACAGACTAGAAAAATAATATTTGTAATGACATGTCAGACATGGGAGTAAATCTCTAAAATTTAAAGAAAACTATAACATCTCTACAAGAAAAAGAAAACCCACTTAAAAAATGAGCACAAGACATGAACAGACACTTCATCAAGGAAGACATTCAGGCAGCCAACAAACAAATGAAGATCTGCTCACAATCATTACCCATTAGAGAAATACAAATCAAAACAACAATGAGATATCATCTCACACCAGCATTAATAGCAAAGTTAAAAAAACAAACAAAAAACAACAAATGCTGGTAAGGTTGTGAAGTGATTGGGACCCTCCTAAATTGCTGGTGGTACTATAAAATGGTTCAACCATTGTGGAAAATGGTATGACATTGCCTCAAAAAGTTGGAAATAGAAATACCATGTGACCCATCAATGTCTGTAGTTGTTATATATCCACAAGAAATAAGAGCCAGGATACATGTAGATATATGAACACTGATGTTCATCACAGCACAATTCACAACAGCAAAAAGACAGAGAGAGCCTAAATGTCCATCAATGGAAAAATGGATAAACAAACTTTGGTACATACACACAACAGAATACAACACAGCAATGAAGAATAATGATGAATCTATGAAACACCTCATAACATGGATGAACCTAGAGGACATTATGTTGAATTAAATCAGTCAATCACAAAAGGACAAATATTGTATGAGACCACTACTGTAAAAACTCAAGAAAAGGTTTTCGTACTAAAAGAAACATTCTTTGATGGTTACCAGGGGTGGGAGGGAAGGGAAAATAATTTCCTGGCTAGAAGGCAGACATGTGTTAACTCAAGTGACAGGGAAAGCAATATATAAGAAGTGAAAGGTTGGCAGAGGAATGCTGAAGACAGGTGAAGACACAGGGAAGTATGCAAGGGTTAAAGGGAAAAGAGGTTGTTGTTGTTGTTGTTGTTGTTATGTGCTGTGGAGTCAGTTCTGACTCATAGTGACCCTGTACTGGGTTTCTGAGGCTGTAAATCTTTATAGGAGCAGAATGCCTCATCTTTCTCCCATGGAACAGCTGGTAGGAACAAACTGCTGACCTTGAGGTTGGTTGGCAGCCTGACTCATAACCACTATGCTACCATAGAGATAAATAGTGATATATATACAACCTTGAAACAAAAGTGTTATGTGAGTAGATACAAGGACAGAGATACTATCTGAATGGTTATGGGAGGAAGAGTTGTAGTATATTCACAAATATATCAGAGTCTGAGAAAGGATACTTGTATATGGATATTTACTTTTCCTATAATCACAACTATGAATGTGGTGGAGCATACACAGGGCAAAATGATGAATTTATCTTAGATATCATCTAACAGCTTAAAGCAATGAATTGCTGGGTGTGGGGGCTCAGGATCATGGTTTCAGGGGACACCATGGTCAACTGGCATAACTTAGTCCACAAAGACAATGTTTTGTATATCCTGCTTTGGTGAGTAGTGTCTAGGATCTTAAAAGCTCATGAACAGCCATTTAAGGTACAGCTATTGGCCTCTCCATGTGCAAAAGAAAGAAGAATGATAGAAATTGAACATGCTTGGAATCAGTTGGTCCAACAGACTAATGGAACATGTGAACATCAGTCTCCAACACTCTGAGGCCAGAGGAACTAGATGGTGCCAGGCTAACACTACCAAATGTTCTGAAAGGGATCATATTAGAAGATCCTGGATAGAGGAGGAGAAAATGTGGAATGCAACTCAAAATTACTTTGAAAAAAAGACTGGGCTTCCTGGTTAGAAAGAGACTGGAGGAAACTGAGACTATGGTGGCTCTTGGCCACCCTTCAAGTCTGGAAAGTAACTCACCCTTGTGGCCCAATTTTCAGCCAAGTAGTAGGTAGGTAGGACCTCTGGTAGCATAGCGGTTATGAATCAGGCTGCGAACCTTAAGGTCAGCAGTTCGAAATTACCAGCTGTTCTGCGAGAGAGAGATGAGGTTTTCTGCTCCCGTAAAGATTTACAGCCTTGGAAACCCTGTACAGGGTCGCTCTGGGTCGGAATTGACGTGATAGCACTTAACAACAACAACAGTAGGTAGGTATATAGTAGGGACAACAACATTATTAAGGTATGGTCACCATGGAATGTCAATCATTTAAGATTAAAAGGGCAACATTTACCCAAGGACAAAGTTGATAATGGATATAGGAAGCTGATTGGAATTCAAATAGGAAACACAGGGAGAAAGTGGGATAACTGTTGTTGCATGGAGGGGATAGCAATCATTGAGATGAAACAGTGTATGATTTGTCAAATGTAAAACTGATCATCTGTCTGTAAGCTTTCACTCAATTCACAATAAAAAAAGTTTAGTAATAATAATAAATGTCCCAAATGATTCCCTCACCTACTGGTCCACAGATCCTATAATGTGACTTTGAAGTCCCACCCAAGAGATAAGTTAAAGATGTGAAATCTAGGATTGCCTTGTCATTGGCTTTGACCATTAGAGTATGATGAAAGTGACACCAGAGAGATCCTGTACTCTTTTTGTCTTACTCTTATGGAACCCTGTTGTCTTCTCCTTGTGACCTCTAGTCTGCTAGAGGGTGAGAAATGACACAGTGTAGCATCAGCCCGGTTGTTGCAACCAAGAGCACAGATACATGAGGGAGTCAGGCAAGATCATCAGATCCACAGTTCTCTGCAGACACATGAGGCATTCTAGCTGGAAAGAAAAGATCATAAAACTTGCTCTTCAACATGGAAAGTCTAAAGCAACTGAAAGAAATGATGCATTAAAGAGCTGGATAGAAATTTCCAAAGGGAAGCCAGAGAACACAAAGTATTATAATGAAATTTGCAAAACCAGGCACCTAATAACAACATTCTTGATAGATTTTTCTCAAAGGACATAGAATAATAATGAAGACATATTAGGAAGAAATTTTAAGAAAACTGAAAACTGCATTGGTGAGTAAAAAGCCAGGAAAGTTGTGCCATGGAATTGTTTTTCATTACAACAATGCACCTACTCATTCTTTGGGGGTAGCAAGGACTGTCGTATGAGAATTTCATTTGTCACCTTTATCCCATCCACCCTACAGCCACGATCTTGCCCTTTCAGATTTTTTTTTGTTCCAAATCTCAAAAAACATTTAAAACGAATATGATTTAAGTCCCTTGAAGATGCCCAAACTGCCATTTTGATGTGGCATAAATCAAAGAGCACAGATTTCTTTTGAGGAGGGTTGTTAACAAACTGGAAACATCACCTTCAGAAATTTATAGATCTAGATGGAGGATATATAGGGAAAACAATAGCTTCACATTTTGATATTTCTGTTTAATAAAATTTTCTATGATTTTGTAGCAATACTTTATTGACACTCTTGTTCCATATACTAAATTTAGGTGTGTGTGTGTGTATAATGGGATGCAACGGTTAAGCACTCTCTTCTACAAACCCAAAGGTTCCCAGTTCGAACTCACCAGTACTACACAGGAGAACATATGGCAGTCCACGTCCATAAAGATTTCCAGACTTAGAACTTATATGGGACAGTTCTACTCTGTCCCACAGAGTTGCTATGAGTTGGACTCTACCTGATGGCATGAAAGTGTGCGAATTTATGGACAATTTCCAGAAACAGTCACACAAAACATTTAGCAGTGATTGCCTCTGGTAATGGGACTAGGGTGTTAATGAAGAAAAAGAATTTTAATTTATATACCTTGTATGATTACATCCTCTCACAAGTATAAAACCTATAAGTCAATAAAAATATTTTTTAAGTAAAAAATTCATTATAAAGTATGAAGTCAACATAGTTGGCTTTTTTGTTTTAAGTTAGATTTTTGCTTTTACCTGCAAAATTCTTCCATTAGATAGGAATTTATGATGGTCATCTTCAAACAAAGGCTGCCCTTCTTTTTGCCAGGAATTCCTTGGAGCTGGGCTGCCACTGGATACACACTCCATCACTGCATTCTTGTTCACCAGCACCGTTACCTCTTCGGGAAGGTCACTGTTAGCTCCCTTGATAATTGGTGGCACTAAGAGTTCAACAGAGATAATGAGAGGAAACAGGTGTTTTTGAAACATTTCTATTTATTTGGTCATTTTAAAAAAAGGACAAGATAATAGAGAAACAGCTTGAAGAAGAGATCCGTAATTATCTATGGCATTTTATACTATTAAATTTGGGTAGCAATAAAATATATCCAGTTTTGCATTTTTTCTTTCTCTTCTTTACCTACCTTTGAACAATTCTTCTCATAGTCCTATTCCTATTTAGCTTAATTTCAGCTCTTCTCCTATATATTTTCTCCTGCTTCCACCATGTCTATAGATTTTCAATCTTACATACATGTATCATATTCATAGATGAATAAATATTTATGTCATTTGGTTACCTAGAACAGTTTGATAAATTAGATCTTTTAAAGTTCTAGTGATTTGTTCTCATTTTCAAGGAAATCCTTTAGGCTATTCAGAGTTTGCTTCCAAGCATCTATATCTGTGACATCAGTATCAATTTGGAGTATTATTAGAAATGCATGTTCTAATCCCCCACCAAGACTTTCTTAATTAGTGTCTCTAAGAGAGCGCTATGTATCTGTTTTAACAAGCTCCCCGAGCCATCCTTATGTATGCTAAAGTGCAAGAAGTCCTACTCTAGATTTTCCTTCACATATTCATCATCATTTACAATATTATCATAAAATCCAGGTGAACGGCTACCTTATTTAAAAATGGAAATGTGAAAAAACAAATGTCTTGACCTCTTTTGTAATAAAGACATTCATTTTCAAAATGACAAATCATTTCGTGGAGTCTGTTCTGACTCATAGCAACCCTGCATAGGGTTTCTGAGGCTGTAAATCTTTACAGGAGCAGAAAGCCTCATCTTTTCCCACAGAACAACTGGTAATTTCAAACTGCTGACCAGGAGGTTAGCAGCCTGACTTGTGACTACTACGCTGGTGGATCGGTAAAGATGGCAAGTTTAATGGAGATGCAGTTTTGTGATATTTGGGCCTGTCTAGAACTGAACATTTGTCAGGAATCAATGTTACAAAAACATAATAGGATTGCAATGTTATTTTGTATGCAGTTTTTAAAATTCAAGGTAATATGATTTTAATATATTTAAGATAACATAAAATATATAAATTTGACTGCATATTGGTAAATAATAAACTTCAGTGTCAAGTTAAATGAGACTATGACTACTTGATGTGTGTGGTATGGCACTGTAAGATAAGCTTCAGACTGCAAGCTGCAAGGTCAGCAGTTCAAACTCACCAGCAGCTCCTCAGAAATCCTATACAGGGTTTCTATGCATTGAAACTGACTTGATGGCAATTAAAAACAAAAGGTCACAGCTTTAACTGCTGACCTTGTGGTTCAAATTGACCTTTTGGTCCAGTGCTTATCCTACAATACCACACCAGGACTCCCCCAAATGGTATTGTTGTTGTTGTTTGGAAGTGCCATTGAGTTGGTTCCGACCCATAACAACTCTGTATAGGGTTTCCAAGGAGCAGTTGGTGAGCTTGAACCGCCAACCTTGCAGTTCAAATGGCTTTGCAGTCTGGCACATTAACCCACAGTGCCTCACCAGGACTCCACTGTTCATAATTGTTCTCAGTGACCTTCCCTGCACCTAGGAGGTTAGCAATAGATGTTAGCCCTAATTTAGTCAGAATTTGGGTGTCCATTAATTTTTCTTTCTTTGTTCCCACCTCTTAATTTAAAACTCATCTCCAACATATTTGCCACTGCCTTATCATTAAAAATAACAGGCTTAATGCATGAACATCTAATCATTGATTATCCAATTCTATAGTATCATTTCATTTTAATTTAATCCCAGTCTTTCCTAAATGATCTTCTCTTATTTCTTCATCAGCTCCTTTTACTCTGCCCTAAATTAAACTCTCACCAAATTCAGGTCCAATATGGACAAGCAGGTCCAGAGTTCTTGATAATGATAGCCCTGATTTTTCATTTTCTTTTCTTCCCTTTTTCTTCTGTCTTCTTAGACCTTAAAATTTACCTTGATGACTCATTTTATCCTGATTAACTTCACTTCTATTCCATTTCAGCTATTCATAGCAGTTATACCTTGCATCATTCAACACGATCATCCCTTTACTCTGCAAGAAGGACAGATTTCTATTATATTCACTGTATTCTCAGTGCTTAACACAATGTCTGTCTGGCACATAGATATCAGTCAAGTAAATGAATTTTGAACTATAGTATTTTCTATCTTCTATACCTTTTAGGTCTTCTTTTACAATCTGCTCTTCATTGGCACTGAAAACTTCAGACCTTCTGCTCCTCCCTCTTTACAATCAGCCCATTAGACTTCTTCATGCTTTAGTTTCTTCTTACTCAGCCTAGACATCATGGTGGGGCATGTAACCCTACACATTTTATGCTTCGCACCCTCCAGTATTTTACAGTGGCAGTCTAGGAGACTAGACCATCTATTTTCTTTACCTTGGCCCCCAGGGTCCCAAGTGTGGCTGCAGAACACATGTGATAAAGCTCACATTCCACTCTTTCTTGACTCTGAATATAGATAGGACTGAGTGTTTTGATGAGCGTTCCCACATTTCCCTTCTTATCATTCCAAAAATTTTCTCTTTACCCATGAAAGGCTATTTTGCCTAACTTGGTGTCTTGATTTTATTTTTCACTTGTCCTAGGATCTTATTCCACCAGTAACTCCCCTCTCCTTATACACACACATTTGAAACCCTAATATCTCCTTTTCTGTGCAATCATTTCCTTTGGTTTACAGGCAAGCTCAAATGTTGTTTTAAAATAACACCAATAACCTATCTATCCCCAAATTCTACTCTACCTTTTTCCTTCTCTGTGAAATGTCCTAAGAGTATTATATATAATTTTCCCTTTATGATCACTTGCTCTATTCTTTTGTGACTTTGTACTATACTATATTATCTAAACTGATTATTTGAATTTCACCAATGATCTTTTATTTTCAAACACCAAAGGCATTGCCTCAGTTTTTAAACTTGCTTTAGCATTCAATACTATAATCCAATTCTTGATCACCTTTTCTATATATTTGCTTCTGCAATATGGTAGTTTAATGATTTTCATGAACTCCTCCGATGGTTTCTCCTCTGACTCCATTCTTCTTTTCTTTTCTCCTGCTATTTCTATAACCATTAACCATCTCAGTTAAAAATATCATGACTTTGAATACCACCCATTTGTAGACGATTCTCAAAAATATATTCTAAGTCCAGTTCCATCTCTTATAGTGTAGTTCCACATTTCCACCTGCTCACTCAACATTTTTCAAAAGTATCCTAGTGCCATGTCAAATTCAACCTGATCAAAACAAAATTCACTTTCTGCTTTTCCAAATCTGGTCTTTTCCCAAAGTCTTCTATCTTTATTAATATTGCTACTATTGTTTTATTGTTGATGTTGTTAAGTGCTATTGACTCGGTTCTGACCCATAGTGACCCTGTACTGGGTTTCTGAGGAGCAGCTAGTGAGCTTGAACCACCAACCTTGCATTCAAACTGACATTGCAGTCCAGCAAATTAACCTGAAGCACCACACCAGGACTCCATCATCTTAATCACCTTGAAAAACCTCTCAGTGCCATCTCATATTCAGAACATAATACCATGTAATCACTTCCTCTATGAACACTTTCACACTGACTTCTTTCTATACATCCCCCACAGTCACTTCTTTACCTCAACTTCTTTTATGGAAAGCATCTATTTCAGGGGTGGGGAGCCTTTTTCCTGTCAAAATTTATAACAGCATTCATGGGCCATATAAAATTATCAACTTAAAAATCAGTCTGCTAGATTTGGTCAAATATTTAATTAATTCACTCCTAATGAGGAGTCCAGAGTTCTGGTGTGGTGCTGTGGGCTAATGCACCAGACTGCAAAGCCATATGAACTGCAAGTGTCAGAGGTTCAAGCTCACCAGCTGCTCCTTGGAAACCCTACACAGGGTCGCTATGGGTCAGAATCGACTTGACGGCACTAAACAACAACAATGAGGAGTCCTGGTGTGGTGCTGTGGGTTAATGTACTGGACTGCAAAGTCAGTTTGAACCACAAGGTCAGCAGTTCAAGCTCACCAGCTGCTCCTTGGAAACCCTACACAGGGTCGCTATGGGTCAGAATTGACTCAACGGCACTTAACAACAATGAGATGGCAGAGTCCTGGTATGGTGCTGTGGGTTAATGTATTGGACTGCAAAGTTGGTCTGACTGCAAGGTTGGCGGTTCAAGCTCACTAGTCGCTCCTAGGAAACCCTATACAGGGTTGCTCGGGTCAGAATAGACTCGATGACACTTAACAACAACAATGTGGTGGCTGGAAACAGTAGTTCCACAGAAGAAAGATGAGGTTTTCTGCTCCTATAAAGATTTACAGTCTCAGAAGCCCCATACAGGGTCACTATGAGTCAGAACCGACTCCATGGCACATACCACCACCATATGGACTACGGGAGTCCTGTTGTGGCACTGTGGGTAAATGCACTGGACTGCAGTGTTGGTTTGAACCTCAAGGCCAGCAGTTCAAGCTCACCAGCCTCTCCTGAGAAACTCTAAACAGAGTCATTATGGGTTGGAACCTACTTGATAGCATGTTACAACAACAACGTATGGACCATGGGTGAAACATTCCCCACCCCTGATCTAGTTGCTTCTGCTGTTGGTAACATCACTTCTCTTTTCCCTGGAAGGAATACATCTTCCACTTTAAGAACAGGCATTCACCATGTTGGGCATATAAACTAGGCTTTATCAATCAGAACACTGTAATCTGTTGGCCACTGTGCTCAGTTCATTGACGACTCATGACTGACCACTTAAAGTTGTAGAAATTCAATTTTAGGGATTCAATTGTAAATACTAGGAAAGAACAACCTTCATTTGGAGGATATAAACCTAGAACTAATAAAGGTCAACTTGCCGCCATAGGAAATCCCCACCTGAGAGTGAAGCTAAGAGAGAAAAGCAAAAGCAAGAGAAAGGAGAAGGCAGAGCCATGAAAACCAGACATGACTGAAGCCACCTCTACCATGGGACTTTACAGATTCATGAGCCAACAAATTCTTTTTTCTTGACTTAAGCCAGTATGCTATTTGAAGAGTCCTGACCAATGGACTGTCATGATGTATAAGGCAATTAACTGCTTGGGTGAACTGTCAGTTTTTTATTATCTTTGCAGTCTCTAAATTGCTTAGTGTAACATCTTGCAAACATTAGTCCCTCAGAAATACTTCTGAGTGAAAGAATGCATAATAAACAAAAGAAAACAAGCTCACAGAGTACACGGACGTCATACTGAAGGGAATCTTCTCCAGCCTCATTCACAGCCACACATGTATATCTGCCAGCATCTTCTAGTTTAGCCCGAGGAATCTGCAACACTCGCCCTCCTGAAAATATATTCCAAGATCTTCTCTAAATCTTAGAATGAACATTGGTTATAAGGAGAAACACAATTACTCAGGTCTGATGGCTTCCTTACATTTTCTTTTATAGCTCCTATTTTACTAATGGTTTCGTTTTAATCCTAGATAGCACTTTTAAAATTAGCATTGCTTTATTAAAAATGTATTTACTATATGGAGCAGACCGCCTAATAAATGAATAGCTTGTGTAGATTTTTCTAGAGAGGAAATGTTATGCTATGCTCTTTGTTATACTCTGTGGAATGTTACTATGCAGGGACTTTTCTTGCTTTTACAGTTTTGAATACATTTAATGGAAGTTTACAATTTCTTCGAGTACTTGTTTAAGGAAGCAATATCCAGAAATGTAAAAGATATAAAGCATGTTTTTGTACATATAACTTTAAAAGGGTAACTATGCATTTTTTATGGAGCTCTGGTAGTGTAGTAGTTATAAGTTGGGCTGCTAACCTCAAGGTCAGCAGTTTGAAACTACCAGCTGTTCCATAAGAGAAAGATGAGGCTTTCTGTTCCCGTAAAGATTTACAGTCTGGGAAATCTTATTAGGGTCGCTATCAGTTCTAACCAACTCCACGGCACATAACCACCACAACCATGTATTTCTAAAAATTAGTTGATATCATCTCAAACTTAAAGAAAAGCTGTAAGAATGGTAAAATGTTTCAGCCATGCTTACCAACTATCTATAGTTCATTTGCTTTACTATAAACAACTATAGTTATCTCGATATATCTATCAATACCATGCAATCACTTCATATTGACTACTTTATATATGTATTTCCATTGTTACTTCTTTAGCTCAACCTCTTTTAATGGAAGCATCTATTTGTTCCTGCTGCTAGTAAATTCATATTTTTCTTTTTTTTTCCTCTTGAAGTAACAATTCTTCCAAGTTTATTTTGCACACACACATAAATTTTTTCCCCTGAATCATTTGAAAGTTGGAGACACAGCAGCCATTTACTCTTAAATATTGATAAATGTGTAATTCATAAGAACAGGGATCTATTAGAAGTATAATGATCAAAATCAGGATATTTAAAATCAATATGTCTTTTATTGAATATTATTAGTCCATATTCCTATTCATCATTGACATAATAATGTCTTTAAATATATTTTCTTTACCCACACTCAGATCTAATTCAGAATCACATGTTACATTTAATTGTCATTTCTCTTTAGTTTCCTTTCACTTAAATATTTTTTTCTTCAGGATATTATTTTGTTTCACTGAAATAAAGTTTACCTATAGTAGAATCCCTTGATCTAAAGTGTACATTCTGGTGTGTTTTGGCAAGCCCTGTGTATTCTAATGCTTGGTAAAATATAATAGAAGGCTTAAAACTATTTTTGTTAATCCACAATGATTTTAACAACTCCTTTATTATCACTATATAATGTAATAACAAATTTTTTGAAATAAAATTACTATTTATTCAGAATAAAAGCATCTAATAAACAATGGTAACTATTTGCAAACGTATTTTGTAATTTGTCATTAATAAATATACAAAAACTGACAGTCACAGCACATTGTTAAAAAAAATTGTTGTTGTTGTTGTTAAGTGCCACTGAGTTTGTTTTGAACACATAGCAACTCTGTATAGGGTTTCTGAGGAGCGCCTGCTGAGCTTGAACTGTAGACTTTGTGGTTCAAGCCAATTTTACCGTCCAGCCCATTAACCCAAAGTGCCGCACCAGGGCTCCATTAAGAAAATAGAGGCACAAAAAAAGGAACTTTTCTTTTTCTTTTTCAATTGAGCACATCCTGTTTCTAGACTTTGTTTCGAGGGCATTACTGCATACTCTCATCAAATCCTCTCAGTAATTCTATTGGGTAAGATTTATGATTATTAGCCTAATTTTTAAGAAGAGGAAACAGAGGCTTAGAAAGAAAAAGTAACTGGCCTGAGATCAAACAAATGAGTCACATCCAGGATGAATCAGGGGTGAGATGAGACTGTGGAAGGGAACTGATCCCGGAACTGTGGCCCTGGCAACCAGTACTCTTAACAAAGGACTTAAGTTGATAGTGGTATGCTACTGTTAATTTCAAAAGTTAACTAAGGTGCTCCATTCTATCTTCTAATTCTTAACTAAGCTTTATGGATACGAGCAGCATTGGCAGCCTAAGTTTTAGTTAAATTATATCTCCAGGATTCCCTCAACATCAATTTGTCTAGTAAATTAAAACAAGATTTTTGTTCTACTCATAACAACCCTTACCTGGTAAAATCAGGACTCTATCACTGGAGGCCAGAGGTTGCCCGTTTTTGTACCATGTCAAGGTTGGAGGAGGTGAGGCATTTGTCTCACAATACAGAGAAATGGGGTTGTTGATGATCACATCCTTGGCTTCACCACTCCTGCCTGTATCAAGCATGTTTCCTATTTCCCAGAGTTTTTGAAAACTTGGAGGAACTATGGAGGAAAGACATTAAATATTGGTCACATGTGAGTGCCAGTGTCCGTCCACTAAACACAAGTTCTGGCTATCTTCTCACTAAAACTATTTAAAAATACAATAAATCAGATAATGTGAAAATATTTTCAAGTGTTCATAAACGTACCAACCCTAGCCCTTAGGTATTTAACCAATAAAGGTAGCAACTGTAGGTCAGAGCTGGTTCTCCTGTGGAAGAAAAAGAAATATGGGTTTGGGATGCTGTGCTTATAACTTTGCTCTCCCTGTGAAAGGGCTATAGCATTTAGAAGACAAAGAATGTTGTTTATCGGTCCAGTCTGGCCAACTGATTGGAAGAAATCCATATTTGTGTCCATTCCAAAGAGGTTTACCTGTGCTTTATTGATTACGCAAAGGCTTTCGACTGGGTGGATCATGACAAGCTATGGACAACATTGCGAAGTATGAGTATTCCAGAACACTTAATTGTGCTCATGAGGAACTTATACATAGACAGGCAGTTGTTCGAACAGAACATGGGAACACTGAATGGTTTAAAATTAAGAAAGGTGTGTGACAGAGTTATATTCTTTCACCATACTTATTCAACCTGTATGCTGAGCAAATAATCTGAGAAGTTGCGTTCTATGAAGAAAAATGTGGCATCAGGATTGGAGAATGACTCGTGAACAACCTGCGATATGCAGATGATACAACCTTGCTTGCTGAAAGTGAAGAGGACTTAAAACATTTACTGATGAAGATCAAAGAGCACAGTGTTTGGTATGGATTACATCTCAATGTAGAGAAAACAAAAATCTTCACCATTGGATCAATAACCCTCCTTAATTGTGATAAAAGACTCTAGAAGGAACAGAACAGACCTTATTCATAAATTATTATGCTTGTTTGTTCTAAGATGTCTGGACAGTACCTAAAGAACTAAGGCAAGGAGGTGATTTCTGTTTCATATATCTTGAAACTTAATTGTTGAGAAAAAGTAGCAGGTATTTATGGAAAACACTGTATCCAATTTAGGCAAAACACAATGGTTGAGACATTGTCTAAGGCCTGGAAGGAAAAGCCCTGGGAAAGAGTTTCTTTGAGAAATTTGGACATTTAAAAACACCCTTATATATGGAGAAATTTGGAAAATAAAACATATGACAATATGTATACTTAAAAAAGACTTGGAAAATGCTTAACTTTCACTTTACAATGATCTCCCTCAGCTCACTGTAAACTCAACTAAGTGTTCCAAGAATGTCTCAGAACAAAGCCAGTCTACATAGGCTCGGAGAGGTGTTTCTTTTGTGTGTTTATTTGGTCTTCTTTTAGTTCCTGATATTCAAGAAAACGTTTGTCAAAACACCGTGGATCACAAGTCAAAGGAACAATTTCAGTTATCAAAATGAAAAAAAATAAGATTTCCAAAAAATATCTGGGAAAGTCACTAAACTTTTAGCTCAAGAAAAAACCAAACCCAAACAAAACAACCGCCCCCCACAAAATAAATAAATAAATAACAACCTTACAACATATACAGTAAAACCTGAAAAACCCAGAACATCTGTAAGACAGAAACCTGTTAGAGAAAAAACTCAAATATTTTCCACTAAACTCAGCAAAGTAAAAGTGGTAAGAATATATTCTATCAAAGGGGGGAAACATGCAAGACCTAGATAAGCAACGCAGTCCAAGCTCCCACAGGCTTCACCGTACAAAATGACCCCAAAATGGATCAAGGACCTAAATATGAGTTCAAACCATAAAATTCTTAGAAGAAAACATAGAGGCAAATCTTTATGATGCTAGATTTGGCAATGGATCCTTAGAAATGGAACTAAAAGCATGAGCAAGGAAAGAGAAAACAGACATCATGAAAAATGAAAAACACCATGAAAATAATGGACTTCAATGAAAAATTTAAAATGTTTGTGCTTCAAAGGGTATTTCAAGAAACTGAAGAGATAATCTATAGAATGGGGAAAAGTCTTCATGATATATTGTTAAAGGAAAGCTATTGTAACCAAGAAACATGTATTACATGGTTTCAATCTTGTAAAATTAAGTATACATTTGATAACATGAAAAATTTACACATTAAAATTATATTTAAAAAAAGGTTAATCCTGAATGATGGGATAATTTTCATTGCTAATTTCTTGAGCTGAAATATCTAGTAAGATTTTTATGTTGTTGTCCATAGAAAAACAAGCAAACACTGTTTAAAATAAACCAAGTCAAATCTTTTTCCATTGCTTTGACAGAACCTATACGTTAAAATATTTATAATAAGCATATTAATATTACCTTGTATATTTACATCAAAATCCAGTTCATCTTCACCTGCAATGTTAGATGCTACACAAGTATATCGTCCAGTGTCTGATATTTGAGCCTCCTTTATTTGAAGTGTGTGTCCATTTGCGGCAATATTAACATGATCATCTGATTGAAGGGGCTGTGATTCAATGGTAATAACATTAGCATTCACACTATAACATTATCTTCTAAGAGACCATGCAAGTGCTATTTCTTAGGACTTTTGTAAAAAACATAGTAATAAAACTTAAAATATTCAAGACAATAATTTAATTTATTTTTATTAAACTGATTACTTTGGAGCAATCACATTTTTATTTATTGTAAATTATAGCTAATAACATTGATCTTTGTACCATGTATTGATGGTGATATCTTTATATATTTTCTATGATAGAAAGGATATTCTTAGGAATGCTATACATTTATCTATGTAGGAAAAAACATTTTCAACTAATCCCATATTGAATTTAATTTTTAAAAGTCTTTTATGATTATTTTATAGAAAATGCTAGAAATTTTCATGAACAATTCTGCCTTTCCTATTTATCATGGCCTCTATTCCCTTTTTATCCAGAGAAAAGTCAGTCATAATCACCCTTGTGTAAATCCTCAGCAATTTATCCTCTTTCCTTTTATTATACTTTCCTGGTAAGACTCTGACCCTGGTTAAAGTGCCCTGCCCATTCTAATTATCCCCTGATTTACAAGGACATCCTTCTAGCCTATCTCCTTTTCTTATCTACATTATCATCAATCTATTTTTTTTCTACTGGACCATGAAGTGGTATAATTTTCCCCACTTAAAACAACAGAATAAACTCTATTGACTTCAACTCATCTCCCATTATCAGCCAATTTTTTAAAAAATTCTCCTTTATAACCAAATGAGTTTTATACACTTTCTGTCTACAGTTTCTTTACTACCAATGTTTTTTGAATCTGTGTCAAACCGGCCTTTGTCTTCTCTATTTTTGCTAAATTTATCGGTCAACTATCTTTACCTAACCTATAGGTGGCATTTGACACATTTTAACTTGTCTCTACTTTGAAATACATTTTTGCCTCTTGTCCTTAGGGTCCCAACCATCAAATGAAGCTGTACTCCAAGCCTTAATTCTGATATTATGGTCTGGCCCTCTATTACTGTTCTGTTCACATCTTCTGTTTCCCTTGATCACTGAATTTCAGCTGCAGTGCCTAGGGGACTTGCTCTTCTTTTTCTCTCTTGGAATATTTTCCCCTTGGACACATTATATCCGTTTCCTTCAGCTTCTTCAAGGGTTTATTCAAATGCTGTTATCAGTGAGGCTTTCCCTATTAAAATACACTCCCTATGTTTCTCTCTGAATGACTTTTCTCCATAACACTTATCTCATCTGTAATAAGTTATGTTTTATTGGTTTATTTGTTTAATTTTTCTCTCTCCCAACTGGAATGCAAACTCTATATGGACAAAGATTTAATTTTTTCTGTTTATTTCATAGCTGTTTTTCCAGGACCTAAAACAATGTCTAAGGTGTCTGGTAGCATAGTGGTTATGAATCGGGCTGTGAACCACAAGGTCAGCAGTTCGAAACTACCAGCTGTTCCGCGGGAGAAAGATGAGGCTTTCTGCTCCCGTAAAGATTTACAGCCTCGGAAACCCTGTACAGGGTCTCTATGAGTTGGAACTGACTTCACGGCGCATAATCACTACCAAAACAATGTCTGACAAATAATGTTGTAGTTGTTAAGTGCCATCAAGTCACTTCCAACTCATAGTGACCCTGCATAGGGTGTCCATGGAGCAGCTGGTGAGTTTGAACCACCGACCTTATGGTTAAAACTGACCATGTAGTATAGAGCTTTATTCTACAGCACCACACCAGGACTTGGGGGCAAGTAATAGGTACTCAAGAAATACTCTGGGACTAAATGAACATTATTACCATTATACCAATAAAATAAAGATGTTGTTGTTAAGTACTGTAGAGTCATACTTTCAACTTTCTGTGCCAAAAGAAAAACTTCAGAGCATGAATACATTAAACTCAAGATTCTATCATGGTATTTTTGGCTAATACTGCCAATAACTATATATGTTTTTCTCTGTTTTGCTTAACTAATATTGCTTATCCACAGAGTGAAATAGCAAGAAATGGTTTATGAAAAACAAACAAAAAATAGTGTTTCCTTGTACACATTCTAGAGGGCCAATCCAAATCCAGAATAATTTCACAATTTAACAAAAGTAACTTTATTGGATCAATTCCAGAGTCTGAATTTGAAGTTGTAATTTAGTTACTTATTAAGAAAAACACCAAAAAATCAAGTTGTCTCCTACTTAGTGTAATTTTAGCCTTTAATCAGTCTTTATGTGTATTTGTTTGTGTGTGTATACATATATAGAAACTCCAGAGAGTGAAAAAGTTTTAGAGAAAAGTACAAATAAAAATATAATTTGAAAGGAGAAATAAATTATGCTTCCAAGCAAACTCAAATAGAATTGATATTGTACTATGAAGTGTGCCTGTAGTAAGAAAAGAAATTGTAAACAGAACATGGTGGGAGTCCCATGTTTTCCCTTTGGCAATGGCTTCCAGATGAAATTTGCTTATTTTATAATCACTGATTTTTGCCCCTCTAGCTGCCAGTATTTCAAAATCCATCTGGGATCTGAAAAAAAATAAAGTTATATCTTTCCTTCATCTTAAATCATGACCAAGACCTGAAATTTTACAATTGGAATTAAACTATTTGGTTGATTATGTGCAAAATGAACAAACATCAGCTTAGCTATTTCACATCTGTATTAAGCACAGTGTTAACAACAGCTAAAAAAAAAAAAAATTATTTTTGTCTATAACAACATGAGCACATATGTTTTTAAAGCTTGCATGGAAGAAAATCAGCTGAATGAGAAATAAGAGTGTGTGGTCTGAAAGTCAAGACCGTAGAACTGTGAAGATCTGCCTGTTGTTTAAAGTTTCTTATTTCTCCCAGTTAGCATATAATAATACATAACCATCTTGTTTGGTTTCATCTTGAACTATTTAAAAGATACCTTTTTATATAAAAGACAAAGCTAAGTTCTGAATAAGCTTATTAAATCCATGAGATGCAAAGCGTTCTAATATGGTTTAGCACTAATTTTGTGTTTCTTACACACAAAATTTAGATTCCTGTTGTGGCAATGTGGGTTAATGTGCTGGACTGCAAAGTTGGTTTCAGCCACAAGGTCAGCGGTTTAAGCTCACCAGCCACTCTTCGGAAACCCTATACAGAATCACTATGGGTCTCAAATAACCCGACAGCACTTAACAACAACAATAATACACAAAATTTACTTATCTAGTCGATTCCAACTCATACTGACCCTATACAGGGTTTCCAAGAGTGCAAATCTTTACAAGAGCAGAAAGCCTCATCTTTTCCTGTAGAGCAGCCTGTAGCTTCTAAGTGCTGACTTTGCTATTAGCAGTCCAATGCATAAATGAATATATGCTACCAGGGTTCTTTCAGATTATCATAGAAAACTGTTAATATGCACAAAAACAATCCTGCAATTTTTTTTTTTTAAGTGATGGAATAATACTGAAATTTCTGAACATGGTTCAGGATATTTTGTAGGTTTACAATCAATCTGGAATCCTAGTGTGGTGCTGTGGGTTAATCCACTATACTGAGAAGTCAGTTTGAATCATAAGATCGGTGGTTCAAGCTCACCAATTGCTTCTCGGAAGCCCTACACAAGGTCATTATGTGTCGGAACCAACTCGATGGCACTTAATGACAACACCTCCTTCCGAAAAGTCTTGGTGTGGCACTGTAGGTTAATGCGCTGGGCTGCAAGGTTGGTTTGAACTGCAAAATCTGTAGTTCAAGTTCACCAGTTGCTCCTCGGAAGCCCTATACAGGGTCACTATGAGTCGGAACTGACTGGACAGCATTTAACAACACAGTCCACCTGCAGGCAATTGTACTAATTTTAAAGACAATGTTAATTCTTTGAGTCACTTGTGTCTCACTATTTTTAAAAAATTGATCATTTTAATCTTTAACAAAACCATCAGCAAATGAAAAAAATTTTTTTTTTTTTTACTAGCCTGTCCATCCTTGTACCAGCTGAGGGATGCAGAAGGAATTGCATAAGCTTCACATTCCAAGGTCAATGTGTTGTTTACTTTGATCTTCACTTCTTTAGGAGAAAGGCCTGGCCCCAAGAGGTCTCCTTTACTTATTATAGGTGGAACTGCATAAAAATGAATGTTAAAGAGTAAAATACTGGTTCTTTTAAATCAATAAAATATCATGGAAATCACATTGAGGATCAAGAAAAGTAAGCAAATAATCAAGGCATTTCCTATGCTTTCGTTTCTTGAAGGACCTAAGTAAACATCTTACAAAACAGCGATGTTCAGCTACAAAATATGAAGGAAAACAGTACTGTCATTGAGGCTGAAATCCTTCACAGAGAAGTTGTGTTTTTTTTCAGGTCCACAAATAGCCTAGTATGGTACATAAAGAGCATGCTATTGATTATCAAGGAGACTGAGTCAAAGGAAATAATCAACCAGAAAGATATTCTCCCTGTAAAGGGAAAAACATCCAGGAATTTAGGACCTCTCTAGTGGTTGTATTAATTTTACCTTTTGTTTAGGGGTAAATTTCTATTGGAAGAGCCCAAAGTCACTGATAACTCACTTTGGGGTGTTGTCTAGAGCATATGCATTTTAAAAAGTTTCGTGCATGAAGAAACCATAATTCAGCCCAGAGGGTAATTCAGAAGCAAAAATAGAAAAACTTAAGGAAGTGCCAATGATACATTCTTCAACAAGAGGTTAATGAGCAAATTAAGTGGGCTTCCCACATCTTTAAGCAATTGAGGTCATGGGCACAATGTTTAATTCAACTTTTACCCTTAATGAAGCAAGCTGCATAAACAACAATTTAAAATGATGAGTTCAAATAGTTCTGAACCCATAATCAAAAACAGAATTTAAAAAGTTAGAAATGGTTAAGATATGAAAGCATAGTGCTCTTTCAGAACTTACTGTAAACTTTCACTTCATAGTGCTTTATCATTTCTCCAGCCTCATTAGTAGCTACACAAGAGTATCTTCCTGCATTGTCCTCCTGTGCATTTAGAATCTGCAGAGTCCTGCCTCCTGAAAACAATACAAAAGAACAACAGATCAAAGCATCTCAAAAATCACAGTGGCAGCAGTGTTTGCTCAAATTACTACAGTTTTCGTTCTTTCTCTTAGCATATTTCTTTTTATATCAGCCAATTTTGTGAGAAACATTTGACATAAGACAAACTACAATACAGATGGGAACTGCACGGCATGTGATGACAGTCACTAAGTCTTAAGTGCTTTCTGTAGTAATGGCTCCCATGCGTCTGTACACTATTCTAGCCAAGACCCTTCTTTATAATCTGATTCTCTGCTTTAATCCTCTTCCTCCTCTCATCTATTGGTTTACGTTGAAACCACCTTGCTAAAAAAGAACCCTGGTGGTGCTGTGGGTTAGATGCTGGGCTGCCAACTATAGGGCTGTTTGTTCAAACCCACCAACTGCTCATGGGAGACAGTTGAGGCAGTCTGCTCCTATAGTGATTTACATTCTCAGAAATCCAATATAGGGTTACTATGAGTTGGAATTGACTTGATGGTAGTGAGTTTTATATTGTTATAACGGAATTTTACTATGCTAGTTTCTTCCTCAAAAATCATTCATGTATAAAGTTAATGTTCTTTAATCCAGACATTTTAAACATGATTCCAATTTACCTTCCTGACTTTCTCTCCTAACATCCCATTCCATCCCACACATTCTTTCCACTCAAGTTGGTTGGTGAAAGGTCTACTTATTACCCTTTGCATATGGCTAGGCCACTGTTGCTTTGGACTTTTCCAATACTAGTGCCTCCACTGGATCTGAAATTTCTGTTAATCTACTTCTAACAAGCTATATTCTACAACTGCCTTTAAAGTCTGATTCACGTTCTGACTCTGCAGCTAAGATTTTTTTCTGCCCACTTGAGTCCACAGTGACTACGAGAAACCCTATCTAGGTACACTCTGAGTCTGAAGGATGGTACAACAACCACTCCCCTTTATCTTGGTGGTGGTTACGTGCCGTGGAGTCGGAACCGACTCATAGCGACCCTGTACAGGGTTTCCGAGGCTTTAAATCTTTATGGGAACAGAACACTTCATCTTTCTCCCGTGGAACAGCTGGTAGTTTAGAACTGACCTTAAGGTTCGCATCCCGATTTGTAACCTCTACACTACCAGAGCTCCTTTATTTTATTCTATGATTATTCACGTACCATGAAAATTCACAACTATGTGTTGCTAATGAACTTTTCACATATATTATCTCTCCTTTGCATAAAACTGAATTTCTTAAAGCCAGTGATCATACCTTTAATTTCTGTTTCCGTAGTTAAGGCTAGGTCTTAAGGAGGAACAAGTAAACTCTCTTTATCTAGTTACTAGCAATCCTTTAATGTTCAATTCTGGAAAATATTAATTTATACCCATTTTGCCATTCAACATTTTATTATATTTTAACAATTAATTGCATTGGGGGAGCAGTGGTTAAACTCTCATCTGCTAACTAAAAGGCCAGCAGTATGAACCCGCCAGTGGCACCACTCCATAGGAAAAAGATGTGGCCGTCTGCTTCAGTAAAAGTTTTCAGCCTTGGAAAGGGATCACATTAAAGAGTGCTGCATAGAGCAGGAGAAAATGTGGACCAAAACTCAACTTATTTAAAAAAAAAAAAGACTGGGTTTACTGATCAGAAAGAGACTGCAGGAACCTGAGACTATAGTCCTCAACTACCTTTCAGGCGTGGAAAGGAACTCATCCTCGTGGCCCAATTTTTAGACAAGTAGTAGATAGGTATATAAGGGGGACAACAACACTAGTAAGGTATGTTATTGTTGTTAAGTTCCGCTGAGCTGATTTAGACCCATAGTGACCCTGTCTAGGGTTTCCAAGGAGCGGCTGTTGAGCTTGAACCACCAACCTTGGAGTTCAAACAACTTTGCAATCTGACGCATTAGCCCACAGTGCCACCAGGAGTCCTGGTGTGGCGCGGTGGGTTCATGTGCCAGACTGCAAAGCTGTTTGAACGCAAGTTGGGTGGTTCAAGCTCACCAGCCACTCCTTGGAAACCCTAGACAGGGTCACTATGGGTCGGAACTGACTCGAAGGTATTTAACAACAACAACACAAACTAGTAAGGTATACTCACCATGTAATAGTCAATCATCCAAAATCAAAAGGGCAACATTTTACTAAGAACAAAATCTAGAAGGGATGGGAAGGTGGGTGGAATGGAAATAGGATCCATAGGGAGGAAGTGGGGTAACTGTTGTTGATGGGAGGGGATTGCAATCATTAGATGAAACAAAGTGTATGATTTGTTGAAAGTAAACCTGATGATCTTGTCGTAAACCTTCACCCATTTCTCAATAAAAAGTTAAAAAAAGAAAAACAAAAAAGACGTACAGCCTTGGAAACCCTGTGAGGCAGTTGACTCTTTTCTGAAGGGTTACTACAATTTGTTATTGACTCCATGACAATGAGGCTTAATTTATTTTATTGTTGTTAAGTGCCTTCAAGTAGGTTCTGACTGAACTGGGTTTCCAAGGAGTGGCTAGTGGGTTTGAACCACTGACTTTGTAGTTATCATTCCAGGGCCTATGTCATTATTAATCTATTTAGTATATTATAGATTATCCAGTGCACTCTGGTAGCGTAGTGGTTACGAATCGGGCTCCGAACCTTAAGGTCAGCGGTTCGAAACTACCAGCTGCTCCGCAGGAGAAAGATGAGGCTTTCTACTCCCGTAAAGATTTACACCCTCGGAAACCCTGTACAGGGTCGCTATGGGTCGGAACCTACTCGACGGCACATAACAACAACAACATGTTATTATTAACCTATTGAGCACATTAATAGATTATCCTACAGTACCACACAAAAATAAATAAGGTAACTAAGGTATCTTTTTATTTAGGTAGTAATCTAATCTGAAGTACCTTAGATTAAAAGATACATGCAAACAATTTAAAACTTATATCAGAACATTACAAAACCAGCAACATGGCACTCTTATAAAACAACTAAAGTAACAATTCTGCTTTTCTGTGTTGCTGTAGAATCAGGGTCAGCAGTTCAAACCCACCAGCTGCTCCTCAGAAATAGATACAGGGTCGCTATGAGTTGGAACTGACATGACAGCACTTAACAACAACAATATAATAATAGTGGAGGAAATGCGTCTCAAGAATCTGAAGTAAACTAATTACCTGGAAGAATCCTAATATTTCGATTTGATTCTAAAGGAGCTCCATCTTTAAACCAGGTGATGGTAGCTGGAGGATATGAGTAAGCTTCACAGACCAAAGAAGTGGGGTTGTTAAGAATAACAGTGACATCTTCAGGGCTTCCATCTCTATCCACACCAGCAATTGTAGGAGACACTAAAAACAGATAGGAAAATTGATCAAAGAAATATATATAGAAAGTTCTGTGCATTTTTAATCTTCCATTGCATTTATTTATGCAACTCTATTCCCTCACAGAATCAGAAACCAATTGATTTTTTTTCATATTTGACACAAAAGCAGTGAGGTCCCTCACATAAACGAGAGATCCTTATACAATGTAGTAGAGTCAATTTTGCTACAGGAAGTATGGGGCATTTTGCTACAGGAAGTATGGGGATGTGGTGTTAAATTCTAACTCAGATATGAGGTGTGAGAACACTTACCAGAGAAAGTCTCCTACAGGAGATGTTAAAAGTGAGCCTTAATGGATTATTGGTAGTTAGCAGGAGAAATATGGAAGATGAGTAAAAATATGAAGGGATTTGGGGTAGAGGAGACACAAACAATGAGAGGTAAATAAGGAAATAGGTGCTTATCATACAGAACCACACTGTTGTTGTTGTTGTCAGGTGCCATCGAGTCGGAACCGACTCATAGCGACTCCATGCACAGCAGAACGAAACAATGTTCGATCCTGGGCCAACCTCACCACCGCTGCCACCCCCGAGTCCATCAGTGATGCCACCTGGCCGATCCATCTCGTTGGAGGTCTTCCTCTTTTTCTCTGACCCTCCACCCTACCCAGCATGACATCCTTCTCCAACGATTGTTTCCTCCGGACTACATGTCCAAAGTAGGAGAGACGAAGCTTAGCCATCCTGGCCTCCAAGGAGCACTCTGGCTGCACTTCTTCCAAAACAGATCTATTGGTTCTTTTGGCAGTCCATGGCACCCTCAGTATTCTCCTCCAACACCACAACTCAAAGGCATCAATTCTTCTACGATCCTCTTTATTCACTGTCCAGCTTTCGCATCCATATGAGGCCATTGAAAACACAATGGCCTGGGTCAGGCGCACCCTAGTCCTCAAGCTGACATCTCTGCTCTTCAATACTTTAAAAAGTTCCTGTGCAGCAGATTTGCCCAGTGCAATACGTCGTCTGATCTCTTGACTGCTACTTCCGCGAGTGTTGATAGTTGATCCAAGAAGAATGAAGTCCTTGACAACTTCAATCCTTTCTCCATTGATAAGAATGTTGTTTATTGGTCCAGTGGTGAGGATTTTTGTTTTCTTGACATTGAGATGCAATCCATATCGAAGGCTGTGCTCTTTAATCTTCATAAGTAAATATTTCAAGTCCTCTTCACTTTCAGCGATCAAGGTTGTATCATCTGCATATCGCAGGTTGTTAATGAGTCTTCCTCCAATCCTGATGCCACGTTTTTCTTCATAGAACCCAGCTTCTCGTATTATTTGCTCAGCATACAGGTTGAACAAGTATGGTGAAAGAATACAACCCTGTCTCACACCTTTCCCAATTTTAAAACTTTCAGTGTTCCCATGTTCTGTTCGAACAACTGCCTCTTGGTCTAGGTACAGATTTCTCAGAAGCACAATTAAGTGTTCTGGAATACTCATACTTCTCAATGTTGTCCATAGCTTGTCATGATCCACACAATCAAAAGCCTTTGCGTAGTCAATAAAGCACAGGTAAACATCCTTCTGATATTCTCTGCTTTCAGCCAAGATCCATCGGACATCAGCAATGATATCTCTCGTTCCACGGCCTCTTCTGAATCCAGCTTGAACCTCTGGAAGTTCTCTGTCAATGTATGACTGTAGCCGTTTCTGTATTACCTTGAGCAAAACTTTGCTTGCTTGAGATATCAAAGAGATTGTCCGATGATTTCCGCATTCTGTTGGGTCACCTCTCTTTGGAATGGGCACAAACATTGATCTCTTCCAATCAGTCGGCCAGACAGTTGTCTTCCAAATTTCCTGGCAGAGATGAGTGACCACACTACTACTTATTTAATGTCTGGACTCCTGGTGTGGTGCTCTAGGATCAGCACTGAACTTCGAACCACAACTTTGGTAGTTCAAACCCACTTTCCACTCCTCGGAAACGCTATACAGGTCACTGTGAGTAGGAACTGGTGCAACAGCATATAACAACAACATTTAATGTCTGGAGTCCTGGTATGACACTGTAGTATAAGCACTGGACTGCTAACACATGGCTGGCATTTCAAATCCACCTGCGACTCCTTGGAAATACTATACAGGGTTGCTATGAAGTCAGAACTGACTTACAGGCACTCAACAACAATAATTTCATGTCTACCTTGCACCCCTAGTACAAAACGAAGTGCCTGTAGCATAGCAAGTGTTCCGTATGTAATGAATAAATTTATGAGAGAATTAACTAATAACAAATGGAAGAAAAGCAGCAAAGGTATACAAAATTGGTCCTCTTTATATAATGAAATGCAACTGTAGAAACACCATGTACTAGGAAAAAGAAACAAATAAACTTAGTGTGTATCACGTGTGATTCTTTAAGACTTTGAAGCAAAGCCTATACTTACCAAGCACATTAAGACTAAAACTTTTGCTCTTGTCACCAGCTGAGTTAGAAGCAAAGCATGTATATCGTCCAGTGTGTAACACTTGGGCATTGGTGATTTGAAGAAAGCGGCCACCAGATATAATTTGGTGGCTCTCATCTTCTTGGAGGAGCTGCCCATCTTTGTGCCATGTTATTTCAGGTACTGGATTTCCTATATGAAAAAAAAACAAAATTCTGAAAATTGGCTAGTAATCACAATCAATAAATAGTGAAAGAGGGTATTTTCACTCTTTTGTGTTTTTTTTAACTGTCTCATTATACAGTTACTCATTTTTAAACAAATTTGTAAATATAGCCTATTATAGTAATTATTATGTCATAATTTTAAAGTATACATATATTACTAATAGCTATCCAATGTGAATTGTTATGCATATCTATGAATTTAAAGGTTCTAAATTTATTTTTGTGCTTAACTTATTTGACCATACCTGGGACTATTAGAGTTAAGTATTTTATCACAATGGTACTTAAAAAAAGGAAAGGTGTGATGCCAACTAAATTGATACTGAGCATGTCCAAACTTCAATCCCTCCATAGAAACATCAAAAAAGCAGAAATTATCAAAGTCATCTTTGACAGAACTATGGAAAATAGTCAAAGGTTTACTGTCACCAACAGATTGCTGATTGAAGAAAAAAGCAACTAGAAAGGTAGAAAAGCTTTGCAGCATTTTTACCTGCATTTGTCCCAGCTGCCTCTCCAGGTTCGCAGCATTCTTGAAGACTATAGCCTATGTTCCTAGTATTGTATTCTGGCTCTCAGATCCAGAGGTAGTAGAGCAGACATTAATTGCAAATTATAATTTTTTTATCTGATATCACCTATCTTCAGGTTACATGAAGGATTTATGCATGGCTATGAGTCGGAACCAACTCCATGGCATATAACCACCACCGCATCTTTGTGTCACCTAACTCAGAGCTCAGTTCAGGATGGAAAGTGGCAAGTATCATTCTGGTGTGGCACTATAACATAAGCACTGGACTGCTAACTGAAAGGTTGGTACTTTAAACCCACCAGCCACTCCTTGGAAACCAACAAGTCTCTCCTTGCAAACTCTATACAGGGTTGCTAAGAGTGGGAATCAACTTAATGGCACTTAATAACAACATTGCTCAAAAATATTGTAAGACAAATGAAAACCCCACAGCCACTTGAAACAAGAGATTATTGTCAAGACATATAATACACTGCTTATATCCTTGGTAGGGCAGGCTGGGATAGTTTTCTTAGGAAATTAAGGCATCCAAAAGCACTTCTTTACGCTGACAAATTCAGGAAGCCAAGTTCGCACCAAAAACACAATGAGTACTCAGAAGAGACCTGAGAAGACCCTACACCGCTATGCTCAGTGAAAGCAGGAGTTTTAAATGATATGGCTAAGCATTTAAAAATTCCTTCTACAGAGCCAATCCATAAAGATCTGAAGAAAAGTGTTTTTGCATTTTGTTTTGCTTTTGTAGATCTTCGTACTCATGGAAAGATACAGAAACCAGCATGGTAAGACTTTATCTATTATACTTGGTAAAATAGAGGGTCAGTGAAAAAGAGGAAGAACCCCAAGGAGGATGACACAGTGGCAGCAGCAAGGAGTTCAAACATAATAACAAGTGTGAGGATAGGTCAGGATAGGACAGTGTTTCTTTCTGTTACGCATGAGGTTGCTGTGAGTCAGAGCCAACCCCATGGCACTGAAAAGCAGCAGTGATCATGGAAACCGACTCTGTTAAAATACTGACTGAGCATAACCTAAAGAGAATAGAAACATTAGTAACAATACATGATAGGTATTGGGGAGAGGGGGTAGTTTGAAAATAGAAAACTATACTTTCATAACAAGAGTATGAAACTCTAGAAGAAAAAGAAGATTGTTGTTCAGAGTGCCCATTATGGTATTTAAATATGCCATTTTCAACAACAAAATAACAAGATACACAAAGTAACAACAAAGGAAATTTATTTAAAAAAACAATATAAAGCAACTGAAATAATCCCTGGGGAAGCATAGACATTAGACTTAGTAGCTAAATGTATTTAAAAATTATACTACATATATTTTCTAAACAGTGGAAAACATAAAAATGGGATAAAGGAAATCAGGAAAGTGATGTATGAGTAAAGTGAGACTATCAATAAAGAGATAGAAATTATAAAGAAGAAATCAAACAGAAATTCTGGAGCTAAAAAGCACAGTAACTGAAGTGAGAAATTCACCAGAAGGATTAAACAGCCGAAGAAAGAATCACTAACTTGAATATGTTGTTGTTGGTTCTGACTCAAAGTACCCTGTACAGGGTTTCCAAGGAGCAGCTGGTAGGTTTGAACTGCCAACCTCATGGTTCACAGTTCAGTGCTGATCCTACAGCACCACACCAGTCAGAGCAAAAAGAAAAATAAGATAAAAAAAAGGAAAGTGAACAGAGCCTAAGGGATTTGTGGGACATCAGCATACACATTATGAGAGTCCTAAATTAATGTAAGTCAGTTTGAACCACAAGGTTAGCTATTCAAGCTCACCAGTCATTCCTTGGAAACCCTGTACAGAGTTGTTATAGGTCAGAACTGACTCAACAGCACTTAACATCAACAATAACAGAATCAGTAAAGGGAAAACAGTGACAGAAAGAATAGTTGGATTAGAAGACTTAATATTATTATGATGTCAACATTATACAAATTAATCTAAGATTTAATATAAATCCTATCAAAATCCTACCTTTTTTTTTTCAGAAAAATTCCAAATTCATTTTGAAGTGAAGATATTTCACTAGTCAAAATGATCTTAAAAAGGACCACACAGATAGAGGATTCACCTGCCCCAATTTAAAAAAGCACTATTAAGCTGCAATAATCAAAACATGTGGTGCTCGTGTACCCACTGCCATCAACTTGATTTCCGCTCATAGTGACTCTATATGGGGTTTCTGAGACTGCAAAGCTTTACAGTAGCAGACAGACTCATCTTTCTCCTTTGGAGTAGCTAGTGGGTTTGAACTGCCAACCTTGCAGTAAGCAGCACAATGCCTAACTTATAGTGTCACCAGCCCTAGCATATGGTGGTGGTGGCTGTGTGCTGTGGAGTCAGTGCCGACTCATAGTGACCCTGTACAGGGTTTCCAAGGCTGTTACGGGAGCAGAACGCCTCATCTTTCTCCCACAGAACAGCTTGTAGTTTCGAACTGCTGACCGTGCAGTTTGTACCCCAATTTGTAACCACTACGCTACCAGAGCTCCTTAAAGAAATATAGGTAAATAAAACAAAATTTAGAGTCTGTAAGTAAACCCATATATCTATGGGTCCTGTGAAACTTACCCAACAGAGTATTTTGAAAATAATGCAGCATGCATTTATAAAGATGATTATTAATGAGTGCCTTTGTATTCATAATCTTTTACAGGAAATTTCATGCATTTGAGAAAAAATTTACAAAAATTAAAATCCCTAAGTAAACAATTCAACAAGCATGCATTTTGAGTTTAAGCCAGATTTTCTAGCATAAGTAGGTAGATAGATAATCATTTATCTCATTAATAATCACAGCCTAGACTACTAGATGAAAGGTTGGCATTTTGAACTCACCCAGAGGTGTCTTTCTTGGAAGACAGACCTGGCATTCTACTTCTGAAAGGTCCAGTCTTGAAAACCCTTTGAAGCAGTTCTACTCTCTATATATGGTGTTATCATGAGGAAGAATCAATTCAACAGCAACCACCACCAACAACAACATAGGGAAAATATCTCTTATATTTGTTTTTAAATGGGACTTTAATTGTCCAAAGAATTTAAAAAATTTTAATCAAAATATCAAATTATGCTATAAAAAGGGTTTCTTGTTGTTAAGTGCCATCGAGTTGGTTCTGACTCATAGTGACCCTATATAGGGTTCCTGAGGAGCGGCTGGTGAGTTTGAATCACCAACCTTGTGGTTCAAACCAACCTTGTGTGGTACAGTGCTTATCCTACAGCACCATACCAGGATGCCAAAAATGGCTAGGATGATGTAATCTTAAAGCTGGAAGGCTTACAATGAAGATGCTCTAAAGTGCAGGCATCTGGCAACAGATTTGGTTTGGGTTTTGGTCTCTAGAGAAGCTGTGAATTGCTAAATTGTTTCTAGAAAAATTAAGAACAGATTGTAGTTGATGTTGTTGTTAAGTACCGTTGAGTGGATTCCAACCCATATCAACCTTGTATATAGGGTTTCTGAGAAGCAGCTGGTGAGCTTCAACTGTTGACCCTGCAGTTCAAACAGCTTTGCGGTCTGGGGCATTAACCCACAGCAGCTCTACACTGGGACTCCATGAAGAGATTAATATTATATATTATACACTTTATGTCTGCCTCTTTAACAAGCCAGAAAACATTTTCTTGCTTACTTCAATTTATTACAAATGAAAGGCGCGTAAGTAATGAAAGAAGAAACTCATTGATGCTTCCTTCAATATCAAGCTTTTCACAAAATGCTATGGGTCACAATTGTTGTTCCTTTAAAACTGCAAGACCAGCTACAAACTTGAGAATGGCCTTTATAAAAATATGCTTATTTTGATAATTCAAACTGATTCAATGTTGTTAAGTTGGTTCTGACTCATAGTTACCCTATATAGGGTTTTGAAGGAGCAGCTGGCAGGTTTGAACCTTTTGGTTAGCAGTCCAGAACTTATCTTACAGCACAGCATCAGGACACTGATTCAACTTTAAAAATGACAAAATTTGAATTAGAATTAAAATTTTTTTAGATGTGAACATATTAAGAAAAGGGATACTGTTATCCCTGGGGAATATCCATCATCAATAATGCCTATTATCTACAATGCCACCAAGCACCTGTCTCTTTCTTATATTTGAAATATAAGAAATATATTTGAAACATAAAAAAGAAAACTGGAGGACAACAAACAAAATGGCGGATCGGGTGGACGTATAGCAGAGAGCTCCGCCAACAACAACACAGAATACCTGACCAAGCAGGTTCAGGGGCTGGTCCCAGAACTCTGAACTGCATATAAAGGAATACTTAGAAGGCTGGAAGGCTCACAGCTGGGGGAATCTGTGGCAGAAGCAAGAAATCTATTGCTTTCTAGTC